AGAGAGAATACATTGAAGGCTCGAACCCAGACAGCGTATCGCTAAACCTAGTGGTATTCAACTGGGGAAATATGGATCGAGCGCCGGTGCCCGCAGGGAATCCCAAAAAGAAGCTCAAACCTGAGAAGGGATTCGATTATCACCCTCTTATTGACATGTGCTTCAACAATTCAGCTCATATTACCCTCGTACTCGAGGCAGGAGCACTTGCGTCAGAGTACTCAATCGCAACCATGCGAAAACACGAATACAGAGGGATGCTAATCCACTCTCCTCCCAAGGAGCCTGAGGCACCCTCAATGTACATCGGAGTCAAGGGTGACCCAACGACAGACATCGCTCTCGTCCACCACTTTTACCGTCATCGAACAATGAAGCCTAAGAATGGTGGTACCAAGAAGCGACTGTGGGCATGCCACGGTGCGGTGTGCCGCCTCACATTCGGGTACCACAGTACCATACCAGAGGCAAAAGAATGGGTCCACCCAAATTCTGGCCAAAGGATGACGAGAGACGAGTTCATGCAGATTATCGGATATGACCCACTCAAGGGCAAAAATCCTGACAAGGATGGACCCACTGATGGCTCTTACCTCTCACCAGAGGCGTGCCTGACACTGTCGAACCTCGACCCCTCGCCGATTCTCTGTGAATGGAACGGCCATGTCGAGGGTGATGAGCCACCAGAGGAAGACTTTGAGACATACGCAGAGATCTTCTCACAAGAAGCATCTAACGATCTTGACGAGATGTGGTGTACAAAAGGGCCTTACAAGGTCATCACCATCGCGATCGTCCATTTCAACTCGTTCATGACTCATAAGGAAGAACAGAGACGCGAACTGGTGAACGCGTTCCTCAACGAGGTTCTCCCTTTTAAACCGGATGTAATAGCGGGAGATCTCAATAATATTGCGTCGAGGCTCACCTTAAAAGGTGGAGACGTTCACCCGCGAAACAGTTTGTTTTCTCTATACCTGGAGAAGAAACTTGCAGCATTCAACAGAATAGCAGGAAGGCACTCACAAGTGCGACATCTTTGCTTGAACAACTCCGACCAGCACAGACTGGCACGTGCAGATCGTCTACCGGCGGACCCGGCGAAGAAAGTTGCTGACCTTGACTGTATCAACAGTTATATCCTTGACTGGAGTAAAACGCCGCACACGGCGTCACCTAGTCCAAGAGAGGTCACACCTGCCGCTGAAAGAACATACTGGGAACGAATCTCAGATATGTGGCAGGACACGAACAACAACAGGGATATTGATATCCGTCTGTTTGTCTCAGTCAAGCAGTACTATTCAACTTTTTCTAACCTTGACCTATGGTTGGGTCCCACTGACAAAGATTGGCACAGCCCATTGGGCTTCACGATACAACCAATCCTTACAAAAGGGAAACACAACCGATCAGATGCCCAGGTCCAAAAGATCGCTGACAAGCGAAAGGCTTACAAGCAGCGTAATGCTGAATACTGGGGTTACAACGATTCATTCGTTTACTCATCCGGCAACAGCTGGTACGACAAATCGCAACCATCAGGTAGCCATCACAGATATGGAAGATTCTGGGAGTGGCCACAGCCTGAACGTCCCAGCGAGCCTGAAGGTCCTCCTCCAAGAAGGAACCAGGAATCATCGTCCTCTTCACAACAAGATCTACCAAGATCAAGGTCCAGGCCTCAAAGAACCAATATTGTTGACAAGCTCAACATGTCTTTGGAAGAGCTGGATGGACTAGAAGAAGAACCGTCACCAACAAAAAGTGACATCGAAGAACACGAAAGAGAAACATCAAACTTGATGTCTGCTCAGAGAGATGAAGAGGAACAAGAGGACGAATCCTCCAGCCGGAGAAGAAGAAGGAAGGCATCGCGTCCACCGTCTGCTCCGAGCGGCAAGGCACTCAGAACAGCTGCTACAGCAGCGGGGTTGTCGGGCTGGTTCGGACACCGCAACCGAGGTGGAGCAAACGCAGAGTCTACCAAGACTGATGAAACTTCACTTCCAGACTCACTAACCAGTGAGCAAGACTTCTCCGTCTTCAGCATCACGTGGAATGTGTTCCTGCTGCTAATGGGCTTACACTGGATGTGGAAGCAGATTACCAGGCCTCCTATCAGATGTATGGAGCGCCAACAACCAAAATCAAAAGCAGCAGCGAACCAAAGAGTTCCATTCCTCGAACCCGAGGATGAACCGCAGACGCGTGAACCTTTAGGACCCAACAGGGTCAATTCCGGAGAAACAACTGATCTGCGACCTATTTGGCATACTTCCCGAAGCGAAGTCTACCATCTCTCAGACAGCTGTTACCAGCTTAAGCAAGCAAGAGATGTTTGCAGGAAGGTGCTGTGCAAAAACTGCCTTCATGCAGTACAAGTTGCGGAGATTCGCAGGAATGATCCTTTCCAAAGAGGTGATACACGACCACGTGGCACCGAAAGAGACATTGAGCGCTTCCAGACCTACGATGATGCAAGTAACACTCCTCACATGACACAATTATTCCAGGATGCCTTGCATGCACAAATGGCCGAGGAAGCCATGCAGATTACCTATACATCGATCCCCAAGGGATCCTCGGCAAAAGCCAGAGGTACATCTGCACTCTCAAGTGCCGCATCGTCATCAGCGCCCAAGGCAATGCCACCAGGGCCTAACAAGGCAAACATATCACCTCCACCTAAGAGTCCTCCGCCAAAGGCAAAAGGAACAGTACCTTCTGCTCCTCCGAGACCAAAAGGTCCTACCAGAAGAGGAGGTCAAAATCGTCGTATCCAACGAAAGGCAGCCAGAGAAGCCCACAACAGTGGACTCTGCACTTATGCAGACGCTGCACTTGACGAAGCCAATCAAGGCCAGGCAATTAACGTTACGTGCCGAAACATAGTATCAAGACATGTCAGCTCTATCGATGCAACGGTAGAAGCAGCCGGCCAGTTTACACAACGCGTGCTACAGCACGTAGAAACATATGATGAAGAGGAACCGTGGAGCACGGAGTTCCTACCAATCGTGGAAGTCCTATTCAGGAACTTAAGCGGCGACGAAACAACTGTCATACATGACAATCAAACGGTAACTATGCCTCTTGCGAAATACACAGACCTCCTCAGAATCGCACAAGCATTGCGAGGCTCTATCCAGAGAGACAAGGAGGAAAGAAAGGAACATCTTGACACCATCCAAGATACTCTATCCAGAGTGGAAATCCTTCTCACAGCACTGAAGGACTCAAGGACAGTCTTTAACCAATTGGTCCATTCCTCACTAGAGATAGAGCGAAGAAATAACAATCTCAAAAATGTCCTCGAGACACTTTTTGATGACCAAAGTTCGAGGAAGACCAATCAGAATCTGACAATGAAGAAGTCCTAACTCCTTCTGCACCACAGTACTGGAATAGCCTTTATGCCCACGCCTTATCTCCTTCAGGAGATGAAAGTGAAAGATCATGGGCGTCCTCAGACGGACAGCTTGAAAGAAGAAGGGCTGAACGGGCAAAGGCTAAGCAGCCGCAACCGGCAAAAGCCAAGGCAACTCCAGTCAGCTCACAAGCTGCTCCAAAGGCCGAGCCAAAGGCGACAACATCCAACCATGGATATGATACTGCAGATGCCGCCTTCACCAGGGCTGAGAACAGATTACTCGGAATCTTTTCAAGTTCCGAAGAAGACCACTCAGACCCGGATGAGCCACATCCGAACGTCTATGCTCGAGCCTATGATCCAAACCTGGATCCGAATCTGAGATAAGAAAATTCTCAGAGTTTCACAATAGTGAATCACAAGGCTCTAACAAGAGCACAATGAATGGCTGCATAATTCGGTAGTAGAACATCACCAGACCTGATCTTGTACAGATGATCTCTCTGACAAATATGCATGAGTGTGTGTGCAAAAATGAGTGGAGTGTCCTCAGCAGTGTACTTCAGTGCTATACCTAGCATACATAATATGCTGTTTTTATAATGAGTCCAAAACTCCGCAACTGTGACAGTGGGCATAACAGTATATGTGTGAATGTGCGGCCATGCTTTCGGTAAAAGAAAATTAGTGTCTGTTTGAAACCATAAACCTCTAAAGGGGTAGCTCTAACAGGTACCTACAGCAATGGCTGCATGCTCATACATATACATTCCGCTGCCCATTGGCTCACAGTGGTTTTACCATATTGAGACAAGACAAGCTCTCCTTGCGTAGCAAGACAAAACAACTACTGTCCGTGTGCAGGGCGCTGCCCTTTGATCCTTAGGGAATAAACTGGTCATACACCTCCTTACAAGGAGTATCCCTTGGGGGTGTATCGGCACAGGGGGAGGGGGGGGGGGGGGGGGGGGGGGGGAGGGGGGGAGGGGGGGGGAGAGGGGGGGGAGGGCGGGGGGGGGGAAGGGGCGGGGTAGAGGAAAAAAAGAGGGGGGAGGAGGCCTGGGAGGGGGCGGGTAGGCCCGCAAATCAAAGAAAATGAGGGGAGGCCGGGCAAGGGGGTGGCAAACGAGCGCAAAAACAGGGTGTCCCCAAACATTCGGACTGCAGGGAGGAGGATTAGGTGGAGGGTACCTGAGGTAACCACCAAAACGCCTGGGCCTGTGGCCTCGGCGGATAAAGACCCAAGGTTTCTGAATCAGGTTCCTACTTTAGCATGTTCCGAGGCGGGCTTCAGCGAACGTGTGAGCAAGAGAACGGCGGCGCGGAACCGAGTTTCCTGCAGGGCTCAGGGCTCCCCTTCATTCTTAAGGACAAGACACAAGGATTCTGTTGAAACGACAGCTCTGCGAGACTTGAACTGAAACACGAGCAGACCGTGACTTCTAGTTGCCTCTGTGGGATGCGCATCGATCCCACTCATTCAAGCCCAGCCTGCTCCGTTGCAAAAGCAACATTTCAAGTTCACAGGTTTAGGCATCTTCGGATTGCGCAGCCGATGTCCGTAAGCATTCTTTTTTGGCGACGAGCTGCAAAGAGTCCGGAGGTTTCACCCCAGCCGAATTCCCAGGCCCTCTACGACACTCGGGACGATCAGAGCGACGACGAGTTTTTCGACCGGACAGCCGCTAAGCTCGGAGACCGGGTTTCCGCTTTTGGGGACTCAGGATTGAGCATGCGCAGAGTACACACGGCGCTTTCGTCTCGTTTGTGTGCAGCACCACAGCATCGCCTCTTTCTCCAGGCTGTGCAGAAGGCTTCGACACCGAAGGTGGAGGAGGCAGAGCCAGCAGACGGCAGCTGCGGAAGGTTAGCGCCGATTTAGGCTGCTAGATGATGCAGACGCTCAGCATTCATCGACGGCGGGTTTGAAGGAATTTGATCGTTGAGAGTAGGCGGTGAGCACTACGCGAAGCACACGGAGCATCCACACACATGCAACATCCGACGAACCAAAGACTTCGATTTTCGCAGGCCCCAGACTCTGCAAACCTTGTTTGTTGGAGAAGCTGGTGAGAACCCCAAACCCGCAAGATAAGAAGCCTCCTGGCTTTCGTCCCCGCAGCGGCATCGCTTGCTCAGTCTGCCGACATTCCCTCGGAGTTGATGGGCCTTCCCACGCCTCTGACTTAGCAACAGCCGTGGTTCGCTTCGAGTGGAGAAGGCCCAATTCATTATCTTTTGGTGTGTGTGTGTGTGTGTGTGTGGGTGTGTGGGTGCTGCAGTTGCCGGTTTCACATGCACGCTCGAAGTACCCACGCGAAACTGCCTGTCAAGCAGTCCATGCCCTGAGCTCTTGATCCTCATCTTGGATGGGAGCGTTCGCCATGCTGCCCTTGCCCCCAATGGCCCCAGACCCTAGTGATCCCTCTCCTTCACTCCATTTAATTTGCTGCTTGTGGATCTCTACCCGCTGGGGGCGACTCGATCTTCCACGTTTCCCCGAAAACCTGACACCCAAGAGCCGCCTCCACCCAGTCTGGATGATGTCGAGAATCAGAAGTCCTTGGAGGCTCGCAGTTTCGTTGGCTGTTCTGCCTCTTAGTGTCTTGCTTGGGGCATGTCTTTCAAGGTGCTGTGGGGCCGAGGCAGGACGTTTTTTCCCTTCACCCAAGGCACTAGCAGAAGTCCCAAACGGTGATGATCCAATCGCAAGACCTTGCAGCATCTTGAGAGGCTTCTGCAAGCGAACCTGTTTGCATCTCCCTCCCCAAACCCCCTGAACCCCGGGGCTGGGGGTGCCAGCGGCTGCAGCGTCCCTGCTTTCGCGCCTTCCACAGGTCAAAGTGAGCCAGCTCAAGACGGAGCAGGCGCCGGCATGTCGCTAGCCAGTCGAGACTGTTCGTGGCAATCTTTCTGGCTTCGGTGCGTTCAGTGAAGACCTTGCAGTTCATCACTTTCCGCGATCTTGTGACCGGCAATGCCAGGCAAGGGTCTCTGCACAGCTGGCAGCCGAGAAGGCGGCTCAATCCGGTGGGGCCGAAGCAGTAGCACCATGGGGTGCGCGTCCCCAAGTCTGGCCTTGAGTGCCTTCAACTTACCCCTTGCAGGTGAAGGCCAAAAAGCAGGCTGACCAGCAGGAGCCCGAGGAGAGCAAGCCTTGATCTTTGTGAAACTCTGTTGGGTGATTCTTGGTGGTTCGCTTCGAGGGTTCGGTGCTCGATGTCCACTGTTTTGGCTTTTCTTTTTCAGCTCACTTTGCAGACCGCCCAAACGCCAAGCGCGACTCGCAAGCAGTGCACATGCGTGGTGGGGGCTTCGATAGAAATCGTTGCCCGATTTTGCACAGAGGTCTTCACGAGGGGTTGGGGTGGCGGCAGCAACAGACTAGGGTATGCATAAGACATATGTGAAGACATATATATATATATATATATATACACATGTATATGTATATGTATATGTATATGTATATATGTATATGTATATATGTATATGTATATGTATATGTATATGTATATGTATATGTATATGTATATGTATATGTATATGTATATGTATATGTATATGTATATGTATATGTATATGTATATGTATATGTATATGTATATGTATATTTATATGTATATGTATATGTATATGTATATGTATATGTATATGTATATGTATATGTATATGTATATGTATATGTATATGTATATGTATATGTATATGTATATGTATATGTATATGTATATGTATATGTGTATGTATGTATGTATGTATGTATGTATGTATGTGGAAATCGCCTGGCTTTCCCTTCGCTGTGACGTGCCGCGTGCTCCTTCAGCCGGCCCGAGCTTTGAAGGATGGCGTGCATGTGCAGACACATAGCCAGCCCGCCTAGGCTACACTTTGGTCCGCTTGGTTCTAAGAACACAGCAAGCGAGCAGAAGTTTCACGAAACACTTTACACAGCTGTTGTCTTTGCGGTAGAAAAGAGTGCCACGCCTGCCAGTGCGAGCTTCGCACTGGTAGCGGAGCCATGGCATCTGCGGGCGACTCCCGAGCTTTCTGGAAGGATGAGGAGATAGTGGTGGATAGGGACGGCATTCCCCACTATACTGGAGCCCATCCGCATCTGATGCGGGGGTACCGCCCTAGAGTCCTCTTTGCCTACAGCAACCTGGAGGGATCGGGAGATGACGAAGCCAAGGAGAAGAAGTCGCTTGAAAAGAAGCGCTCCCGATTCGCTCGGAAGCTGCTGGACGCTCTTCATGGGGAGGCCTTCCGGACCTGCCAAGACCTGCTTCTGGAGGCCGACAAGCTGAAGGAGCCGAAGGGACATGAGCATATTCTGAAGGCCCTCATGCAGATCGAGAAAGCGGGCGTCATCCGGAAGACCGAGGCCTTTGACCAGTTCTTCGATAGGTGTTTCCGACGCAAGGGCCAGACAGTGGATAGCTACTTGAGGCAAAGGAAGCAGGACTGGGCCGACCTTCAGGACATTGCCGAGGGAGTGCAGATGAGTGACGACCTCCTCGCGTACTTCACCCTGAAGAACATAGGCTTGTCTCGGGAAGACAAGCGCCAGATTCTGTCTGCTAAGCGAAGCTTAGCTTGAGGCTAAGCCCTGAACGGAATGAATCGTTTGGGTGGTTTGGGTGCCTAAGACGGCGTGGGGTGGCAGAGAAAAAAGAAAAGCCTTCCACAATCGGCCTCCAGCGACCAATCGTCGCATTACTATGCACTCGACATGGCACTGTCGCAGATATTTTCGCTTTGGCGCAAATCTACGGCAAACCGTAAGTTCTTAAACCTTAATCTCCAAAACCCCTTTAGGCACTAAACTCCCAGCCCCCAAACCCTAGGCCGCAAAACCTGGGCCTCAAACCCGAGGCCCTGAAAACCCTAGGCCCTACATCCTGCTACGCGGAAATTTACGGAAAAACAGCTAAAACGTCATGACTTGCAGAAAGAACGCTGCACAATTATCATTCGCAGAAAAACCGCTGGAAATTCTTTCATTTTGGTTAACAAGATAAAGATGTATATGTATAGGTATATGTATATGTGTATGTGTATGTATATGCATATGTGTACACATATGTGTATGTGTATGTGTATGTGTATGTGTATGTGTATGTGTACTTGTATGTGTATGTGTATGTGTATGTGTATGTGTATGTGTATGTGTATGGGTATGGGTATGGGTATGGGTATGGGTATGGGTATGGGTATGGGTATGGGTATGGGTATGGGTATGGGTATGGGTATGGGTATGGGTATGGGTATGGGTATGGGTATGGGTATGGGTATGGGTATGGGTATGTGTATGTCTATGTCTATGTCTATGTCTATGTATATGTATATGTATATGTATATGGTTTACGGCATATATGCACCCGGGTGTAAACGCATGGCTTAGGGTTTAGGGCCCATGCCGTGGAATTTCGGCGTTTTGTTCGTCTGAAAAGCCCGTGCTCGTTTCTAAGGAATCCAAGTGTTATTTCTGACGAATCCGTTCCATATTTCTGAAAATGTGTGCATGTTTTCTGAAAGGGCATCTCAGGAATTGAACATGGTTTCTTGAGCGTTCCTCTTGAGCATTCCATTAACATACAGCCAACCTGACAGACACATAAATCTACGGAGGATGCGAGGATGCAAAGGGGCTGCTAAGCGCAAGCTGCAGCTGCCTCACTCGACTGGCCACAAAGCGTGGATGCGTAGAAACTGGAGCAGCTACGCTCAGGAGATGCGGAGGCCTGCAGAAAAAAGAGCCCGAAAACAATTCTTGCAGAACTAGCGGGAACGGGGCAATGGCGTGCTCCTGCTTGCATTGTGTTGTATTTTCAAGCTGCCTCGCAATGTCTCCACAACACGGGTTCAACAAGGGCCCAAAATTTCGGTTTCGTGTGGAGGACTCCCTGGACGCTTTCATGAATGCCACGGTGGCGGAGCTCCGACAGGACACTCTGCACTTTTCTGCGTTTTCTGGAGCATCCGGACATACACGTAGGCACAACATTTCCAGGGAAGTCAGGCGCTTCACATGGTTGAGGCTGTGTAGACTCTGTTGCGTCGAGCTGGCCTTCCGATTCTTGAGTTGAGCTTTTTTTGGCATTTTGACACAGCGCGCGTTGGGTTTGTAGTTATGAGTGGGTATGCAACGTGCGGCCCGGGCAGCAGGACCGCGGCGACAAGCTCCAAAGGCGGGCTGAGGCGGTTCCCCTTTGCTTCCCATCAGGTGGCTTTAAACTGCTCCAGCGCGAGCCTTGTCAGGTGATCAGTGAGCGCTTGGTGAAGTTCGAGGTCCTCGGTCTCACCGAGTTCGGGAGTTAGGGCGCCAGGGCTGAGTCCCATGTATTCGGCCGCTTGGTGGCGAGATCATCGGCAGAAGACCAGAAGCCTTGTTCCTTCCCGCTCCCAGTCTTTTCGCAGGCAATGCTCCGGGAAGCCAAGAAGAATACAGAGGAGGCGGCCCATTACCGCAGTAGCTCCTTTTGGGGCGTCGAAGCTTCTCCTTCTCCAGGTCCTCGCGGCACCGGTCAAGCGGAAGACCGAGGCGATGGATCCGCGAAGTTCAAAGAAAACCTCGCACGTCCCGAACCCGAACTCGGTGCTTCTGAGAATTTTCTCTTGCAACCCTGGAGCTATAGCCAGCACGCCCTCATCTTTGTCCATCTTCCTACAGCTACCGAACATCAACCCCAGATTCGTTCGGAAACGGTCTCAAACTGTCAGCAATGGATGCAGAAGTGCCTAGGCTCCAGACCCTTTTTTGAAGCCGCGGGTCACAGTGCAACAATTGCCCGGATACCTGCCGAAATGGCTCTGCTTCAGGTGTCAAGTGCTCCCGCTGCGCCTCCGTCCAAATCAAAGCAACTGGCATGCACAGCATAAGGTTACGATTCTTCAAGCAGGTGCAAGATTGGCCTCGTGGTCATGGTTTACGAAAGTTGGTGGCGGTGTTTGGTCTGGCATGCATTGCGGATTGCATTGTAGACCCGAACGAGCTGGCGAGTTTTAGGCGTGCAAGGTTCAGTGCATCTTGAGAGACTGGGTCAGACATAGCCGACGTCCCCAGAACACCGTGACTCCCAACCGCAGCCGTCTCCCTCCTGCCGCCAGGAACGCGCCAACCTCCACTGCAGAGGTGTTGGCCCGACTCACTGAGAAGGCGGCGCTTCAGAAAGTATGCTTGAAGCTTGAGGGCAGGAGTTTCAGGTCCTTCATCCGCCTTTGCTGCAAGGATGCGAAGGCTGCAGCCAAGGCTGAAAAGGCAGAGAAGAAAGCTGAGGAAGTTGGGGACTCACGGCTCGGACGGCGTCATCCGAAACTGCAGTCGACCAGGATTGAAGTGAGCAGTATTTCAGATGGGAGTGCCAAGAAGCAGTCAAGCCGGAAAACGAAGCTTACGAAGAGTCCGTGGGGTTGTCGCCCTCTGCGTCCTCCTGAGGAAGCGGCCTCCGGCGTGCTTCGGGCGCCGGCTCGGGCCGGGCCGGCGGCGCCCAAGGTGGGGTTTCGGAGGGGCGCGAGATCGCTCTCCCTTTTTTGGACGTTTCGCAAAGATTGCTTCGAGTGTCCTGGCCCTCAGTAAGTAAATTTCTTTTTTCATTCTTTTCGGAGGAAAGCGTAAGGTGGATTCAAGCGCTGGGACAGTGATTACCGTCTAAGTCTAGCACACGGGAGATTTGCAGATCAGCAGGCCGTTTTCCATCGTGAGGCCGAAGTGAAAGTCGAAGCTCCGGGCCAGTCACCCCCGACGCCCGCGACGTGCTGGGCTCGGCTTGGAGCTGGGCTTGGGCTTAGGCTCCGCTTGGGAACACTCTGAAGGTGTAGAGCCGGAACTATGAGAGAAGAGTATGAGCAGGGACAGAGATGAGACCAGGAGGTCGCAGAGAGCCATGGAAGCTCAGGCCCCAGGAGCCTGCCGAGCCTGCTCCGAAGGCGCCAGCCCTGGTTCGCTCCGCTTTCGCTCCGCTTTCGCTCCGCTTGCGCTCTCCGCGAGTGTCGGCGCTGACGGGTGAGACTGGTGTGTGGATCTCGGCTTGGGATGCGCTAATGCGCTGTGCCGGAGGCAACTGCGATGGCGCCCCCCACAAGAGCGCCTTCCAAGAGGGTGCATATCGACCCGGAGAGGGACCGCCTGTCTCGGGTTTTCGGGTGTTTCTTGCCTTGGGCCTGGTGTTGGAGGTAGCTCTTTAGCAAAAAGGGACGCTGCGGGGCCACTGTTTTCCACGCACAAGGTTTTGCGATGCTTTGTGGATTTGTCCGAACGAAAAACGCCACAAAACATGCACCCATACCGTGGGGAATGCAGGGCGATGCAGAGCGTCCCACCCTCCACTTCAGCTGATGTCCTTCTCGAAAAGGCCGGCCTGCAGTGCATGGCGGCCGAGCCTGCAGCAAAGAAGAAGAAGGCCACCGCTGGATCTGGATCTGATGTTACAGCATTTACTGCATGTTCAGTGATTTTGACAGTCTGAAACTTAAGCCCACACAGAACTGTTGGATGCGATGAGGCCCGCGGCCCGACCCATCCCGAGCCCAAGAAAAGCTCGAGCTCCGGCAGGTTTACGGCGTTGCCATGCCGCCCTCTCGTGACTTGGATCAGGCGCTGAGCGGTTAAGCGGTGAAGGGAAGTGTTCCACCAAGAACTACCGTCTTCCTGTCGAAGCCTCAGATTCAGAGCACCGAAGAACGTGAAGCCTCAACCGTTGTCCGAGCTTGTAATGTCCTGGTCCTCAGCACTCCTCACTGACCCCATGGTGTGCCAGGCCGCTTCCGGAGAATAGCGACACGAGTGCGCGGAAAGACGAGACGAGCAGCTCTTGATGGGTGTGGTTGAAGGCTGAAGGTTGGGATGTGTCAGCCCTTTGAAAGTTCAAGTTCGGGGAAACAGAAGCCCAACTGTGGTCCTGCATTTGGCATTCATCGCTACTTGTGGCCTGGGGCGTCTATTGCATGCGTAGAGACCCTCGCTGCTCTTGCCGCTTGCCGGTTTGCGGACTTCTGGCTCGAGGGATGATTGCTTTAATGAAGACTTTTCTCGCAGCCGCCCACCTCGCCTGAGTAGCGCAAGCGTGCTGCATTCAGGAAGAGAAGCAAGGGAGAGAGAGAGAGAGAGAGAGCTCCTAGCAAAGCAAAGCAAAGAGAGAGAGAGAGAGAGAGAGAGAGAGAGCCAATCAGGTTTGGAACTCGCGTCTGGCGAACTGCAGATAACACATGGCAGCCGTGGGCTAGTCAGTCAGCTCTGTCCGCCTTAGTGTTGACGGTACAGCTATCTTGCACTGCGGCGGGACGCGACAATTTGCTTAACTGTCCTTTTCCCAGCCATGGTTGTTCTCTTCGTCGAAGCCGCAGTCAGCTATACATAACAGGAAGAGGCACCTACAGTCGACAGGGGGAATCCTGTGATCTTGCACCGGTCATCCTTGTTGCCGCTGTGTGCAGTCTTCAGTTCATGTCACCGTGTCGTGTATGTAAAGACAGCAACACCCCCTATCGACACCGAAATCTAGGAAATCATCTGGCGCATAACGAGGACTACTCCCGGGGAAATGTGTGTTTTATGTTGTGCTGTACACTGCGTGTGTTGGCTACTTGCTGAAGGATTCCCGGATGTAGGCCAATGCTTGCCAAGCGGTCTGAAAGTGACTATTATGGAGAAAGGTCGTCGAACTTCTCGAAAGATAGGGCATAGTGCGCAGCAAACAAGGCCTCAGTACCCCAAACAAGTGCAAGTCATGTCATTGGTTTGCGATCCCTGGAGCTGCCATTTTCCTATATGTAAACAACGCTCTCTATCCAGGGGGAAACAAAACAGTTCTTCACACTCCTCCAAAGCCCCGTCAAATAATGGGGGCCCTAGTGGCCGCGGGGGCTCGAACACCCCTCATGCCCTGCAGAAGAAGAGAGACAGCCAAGGGGGGTGCTGTGCGCTCCTGATCCCAGTTCTCGGGGCGTCGGGCCCTTGAACCAGGGAGAGACGGCCTGTGCCCGTGGCACAGCAGATGGCAGAGAGAGAGGGAGAGAGAGCAAGGCCTTACAAGGGTGGGCCGTTGGCTCGGGAGGCTTCAGATGCCACCAATGCGGAGGAGAGAATGAGAGAGAGAGAGAGAGAGAGAGAGAGAGAGAGAGAGAGAGAGAGAGAGAGAGAGAGAGGGAGAGAGAGAGATTTGGCCCCACGAACATCGGGGGGGGCTGCAAGGGCGAGGGGCTTCGAACACCGCTCATGCCCCGGTTAAGGAGAGAGAGAAAGAGACAGAGGAAGGGTTCAGACGGTTCAGAGAGGGAGGAAGGGAGGGAGAGAGAGTTTGACCATGCACTGATACAAACACGCTGGAGCTGATTTCTATGAGGATATCCCGTGGCAGGCGATGCCCAATACGCTTGATGTCTTACTGTCATGTGAACTCCATGCTTCATGCCTTTGTTTTTCGTCGCCACATGCCACCTTTGCCACAGTGTTGTATCGATGCAAGACATCTTATGCAATTTCTCCGTGTATACCTCGGTGACTGTGAACTTGTGCGTGTGCTATCCTTATGATGCCCTTTATCTGCTGAACAGACCGTGCAGTCACGCATGTCCTGGATTGAAGTGTAGTTTGCTTGAGATGCCCTGAGGCTGAGCTTGTTTTAGTTTGTAACTTCTTGTACTTTACCGACCAGGATCATACACATTGGTCATGAGGGGAGGGGAAGGAGTTGTGGTAACATCGTTCCTCGAACATGCTCGCAGACTGCACTCAGGAGTTGTTGAAGGCTCTGCGACCGTCCATTTATTACCGACGAAATGAGCCTCGCTTGCACTGCGAAAGCAGATGCATCTGTACTTTGCAGCTGCCTCGCCCTGCATTCCATGCATGCCCCAGAGGAAGCAAACTATGAAGGCATGCAATGCGCCTTGGAGCATTGAGCCTTCTGTGAGAACGGAGTGGGTTGACAAGGAAGTTTCGTTTTCTGACCCTCTACCAAAGTGCGTGAACTATTGGGAGGTCCTGCTGCTCTTGACCGGGGCTGTCGTCAGCTTCGGAAGAAAAATCGTGCAGGAGACTTTGCTTACGCCGTACGCAGCCATCCAACTATTCAGAGTCCGATACGCGAGGCTGGAAAAATTAAGAATCACGACCAGTTCGCCTGCATGAATCCCTCAGCCTCACAAGTAGCAGCATTATTCCGTTATTTGCAGGACCACGGCGCTTCGATGGAGACGGACTCTGCAGACAAGGTTCATGATGTACTCGGATCTCTAGTCTTGGTCTGCTTCTTAGATAAAGGCGTGCGGGCTGAAAAGAGGATCCGTCAGTCGTGTGCAGGAGTTTGGAATGGCCGGCTTTCAGCGATTTGAAGCGAAGGCCTAGACCAGGGGCAGGAAACCTTGCACAGAACCGGCAGGCACCAGCAAGCTAGCGATATCTTTCAGTTTCTGTCTTCACCTGACAGGCCATGGAATTGCTGGCTCACCTAGAGAGCCACTGGGATGATGTCATCGTACTCTTCGGACAAATTGTTCGGGCGACCAACGTGCTGTCAAAAACTGAGGCCAAGTTGAGAACCAAAGCCACGGGCAGGAAGCTGCCACAGCCTCGGATGGCAGACTGCGAAACTAAACAGACGTGCCGCCGCAGCCATTGCCACGATGATGGCAGGCCATGCAGCTGCTGGCAAAGCTGGAAAGCTTCTTGTTGGCTATTGGTCGTGTTGCAGCAACCACAGTACATCCGCGCAAGTTGGACTTGCAGGTCGCAAGAGGTTCGCAACAAGGCCTTGCAATTTGAGGCAAAATCAACAGCTCCGATGCTCACCGCAAGATTGAGCAGGATGTGCCTCGCCAGCAGAAAGCACGGACAGCAGATGCCGATAGCAGAGCCGCTGTGCTGCCCACGCTGTTGACAGCACCCAAGTCAAGTGCAATCCAAGAGACAGGGACCTGCACACGCCCCGCAACTCAGCAATTGCAGCCGCAATCGTCAAGATTTGGCAGGCACCGCAGATCGTCACCATACCGCAACCGGCCATGCTTCCAGCAGCTTCGCTGTTCAGCACCACTTTTGTTTTTTGTTTTTCTTGGGCACGGGTTGCAAGTTGCGACGTCTGAGGCGCGCAATACATCGAATTCGATGGAAATGACGCCTGCCTTGGCTAGGAATCGGACTCCTCATCCGCCTCTCCACGGATCCGAGGTTCGAGGGATGCAAGGCTTCCAGCCCTGTGGAGGCCGACTGGAGGGAGCACACGGAGGGGAGCGGGGAAGTGAAAGCGCTTTCGCTCAAGGCATTGCTCCGACGAGCCAGCCAAGTGCACGAGGAAGAAACCCAGGCGCCGGGGGAGACGGCCCCCCTAGGAGGGACGGTGAGCGGGGGTGGGATCGAAGAACTTCTTCCTTTCCGCTTTCGCTGTCCTGATCCGGCTGACGGTCCTTCTCTGAGGAGACTCTCAATGAGTCGACCTCGGGTGCAAGGCCGGATGCCGAGCTGATTAGGACGACCCACAGTTCAGGTGCAAATCTTCTGGCGTTGTGGTGCTTCGAGTCTTGGGGCTCGGAAGACCAGCTGATCCTGTTTGGGCACAGCATACTTGGGCTTGACTTGCAAGCCGAAGAACCAAGGGCGGAAACCCAAAGTTCTTCATATCCCCCCTGGCTGTCCGACGTATGGACCACTGGCATTAAAGGTGAGCCTTAGCGACGCAGGTTTCGAGCGAAGCCTAGACTTGCCTGGACTCCGAAGGACCTTCGAGATCACATGTCCCCGACCGAAGCGTGTTGTCTCTCAGGTGTAAACTGTACGAGACGCCAATCACGCTTTACCGATGGGATGAAGCAACTGCCAGCAGCAGCTGCTGCGACAGCCGCAGCCAGGACAAGAAGTCACAGAAGTTGCTGTTTCCTGTGTCTCTGTTCTCATTCAAGTCTGGCTATTTCGGGTGTCTCCTGACGTCGGGCATGCGACGCCAACTGCTGGAGTCCCCTCGGAACGTCTCAAGTCAAGCAGAACCGTGGTCGAAGCCGTTTGTATGCCAGCGGAGGACTGCAGCGGATGTGAGAAGATGGGTCCCTTGATCCGGATGGTTCCAGAAAAGCTTCAGAGAAAGGTTTTAACTAGAAAACTAGAAGACTCCGTACTGGCTCGCGGAGATCTGTGGCACCAGCACGTCACAGGGTAAGTATGACTATTCAGCTTTCGCAGTTGCCAGTGGAGTCCCGCCGAGGGAAGGGCAAGTGCGACGTCCGCGAAACCGCTTTTGCCAAGCTCGAGGGAGACGATATGTACCTTCGGCTCCAATAAAAAGCAGGTGCTGGTCAACTGTTTGGAGCTAGTAAGGATCGAAAAATTCTGGGGCTGTGTTGTCGATCCGGAGCGCGAGGCTCTAGTCTAAGGTCCAGCTGAATCAAAAGCTGCCAAGTAGAATCCTCAGCTGGAGGGCTTGAGGTTGGAGGCCCTGGACCCAGGACGGAACTGCCGCTTGCTGATGCTGAGTCATTGCCCTCAAGGCTTACAGATAGAGAGGGATGTAGGGTAGCCCGGACTGGCATTTTACCTCGTCTCCCAGGCACACTGCGTGCATGGACATTACCTGGGTGGACGTCAAAGGGAGGACGTGCACGCTGGCGCAAATACTCCTTGCTGAATGTTGTTTCGCACCGAGGCCCTAGGCCCAATCGCCGTCGTGCATGTCCGCAGTCCGTACTCCGCGAGCACTGTAGGCCGTAGGCTAGGACTCGGACTCATCACCCACAGCAGCCCGGTGGCAGAGCTCTGCAAGTGGAACGCGAATTCATGTAAAGTTAAACTCGCTCCTCAAGCGCATTTGGCTCTTCCAAAACGGTGAAGGCCCAGGCCCCCAGGCCCCCAGGCCCAGGCCCCCAAGCAGATCCTAAGCAGAGGTCGGCAGTTGAGTTCTGCGGACTGCAACGACTTCCGGTTCCAGGGCACGAGCAGCCGAGAAGCCTGCTGCAAGTGCGGAGGCGAGCATCGAAAAACTGTCCCAATTGCCATGTTCTGACGGGTCATGGGTAAAAACCGATTGCTGATGTGCGCCTGCAAAGAGCTTCAAATCCAAGCGCCGAAGAAGATGCCATGCGGAGTATTCACGTCGCTGATCCCCAATTGCATTAACTGGATAGAGACAAAAGGAAGCAGGTCGATACAAAGCCCTTTCCTGCGTCCTCGAACGCGGGCCTTCAACCAATGTCAAGTGCTCTTGAATACTTTTTGACCGCACTCGGACGTGAACAATGAGTGCATGATTCCAAACGCTTGTTCCGTGCAAGGGTTTGCTGCGCGGGGTTCGTCCAATTGAGGTTCGGAGGTTTTGCAGGTGATGTTTGCAGGAGTGTAGCATTTCCGCTTTCGGGTGTACCTGTTCAATGATTTCACTGACAGGCGGTATCAAAACGGCTACTCCTTTCAAGTACGACGACTACACGTTCCTTGCCTGCGAGGGTTGTGGTTTGGTAGTTGAAGCTTGACCTCAAGATTGTGATGTGTCATCTCTGACATCGGTGAAAGTTCGCCGTCGTTTTAGCGCTTGCTTTACTCCTCAAGGATCCCCTCGACCGCAAGTGTTCTCACAGGCCTCTGACTTGCACTTGCAAGTGGCAGGTACATTCTTGGTGAGCAAGTGTCCTTGTGGCCGCAGCCTCGCACCGCCACACGCTACGGTCTCAACGAGAACTGCGAATTTGCTGGAGCCCTAGCAGTAGCCGTGGCAGATTGGCAGTGCAGTTGTGTTTCGGGTTCATCTTTCAAAGAGAAGTGAATCCGGGAACGACGCGAACCTTGCTTTCCAGGGTGCCGAAGCGAGTAATGAAGCTTCATTAACGAAATGGCCAAACGCCACATCTTCTTCACCCTTGCCCTTTTCCAAGTGCCGAGCTTGAAAACGGTTAAGCTCAAGCTCAGGCCCTGTACAACTTGACCTTGAACGGTGCGACTGGCGAGGCCTGAAATTTCTGGCACCACATCCCTCATTTCATGGGTTTGCCCGTGTTGGTGTGTGCAGTGTTTAGGGAGATTCGGGCTTCGGTTCTAAAGCCCACGTTCGGAGTTGGGCATCTGTTCTGCGGAACCCGTCAGAAACCCAGGACCAGGACCCAGGAGCGAGCAGCCATAAGCTCCTCCTGCCCCTCCTCCTCCTCCTCCTCCTTTCCCTTTTCTCCCAGCTAGGGATGCTATGGACTGTCGCCTCAGCCGGAACTGTGCTCAAGCCAGACTTCCATGTCTCGGGTGGGAAGCTCGACGTCGAGAGTCCTGCAGAGGCATCACACGTTACAAGCAGGGGCAGCGAAAGTCGAACAGTGTTTCGCACTTTGACCCCAAAATGCTGGACCTGAAGCCTGCACTTCCTCACAAAAGCCTCAAACACAAACCCAGCGGATCGAATGCCGGCACTCCATCGGCTATGCACGTCTTTGAACCGGGTGCAGTGGTGGCAAGGCTCTGCAAGGGCTTCGGGGAATCAGATTGGGAATCAGATTAGAGTTAAATTTGACGACCCTGTCTCTCTCTCTCCCTCTCTGTCTTCCTTGGCTCTGTGCGTGCAGGCACACGCCCATTCAGTTTTGCTTCGATGCACTGACGGGCAGCCCTGTGTCATGCGAACCAGGTACAAAGAACATCGGTTGCTGCACAGATCAGAAGCTACAACATGATGCAGGTTTGGAGCTATGCAATGCAATTGTCGACCGCATGTGACGTGATTCTTCCACCCTTCATGGTTGTCAGGCGCTCTGCTTTTTTGTTTTTGTTTTTCCCTCTCTCTCTCTCTCTCTGTCTCTCTCGCCGTCTCTGCCTCATGCTTGCCACACAGTTTGCCACACCACCTCTGGCCACGGCACGGTGCGCGCCTTGATTTTGGACTGCGGGGTTGTTGCACCTGATTTCGCATGTAAGGCTCATCTGTACATACCTTTGGCGGAGTTGGGGTTGTTGCAGACATTTTTGTTCGGCGCATAAAGCTGGGACTGCTGGGTGCTTTTGCATCCCATCAGGGTCACCGGCGCCGTCTGTTTTACTCAGATGTCCTCTGTCAGATCCGATGCTTGACTCAGGTTCCCGTCTCCATGCCTCCGACGCCGCACTTCGCAGCCATGGCTCCGTGAGCGTGGGACACCTGGCTGGCGCCATGAAGGCGGAGCGGGGAGAACAAAACCAGAGCCCCAGAGCCCCAGAGCCAGTCCCAAGCCGTTTCGAGGCACCCCTTTCGCGGGGTGAGGCTTGTGCCGTGGACGCAGTCGGTCCGGCTGCTCTGCTCAAGGCCTTGAAGGCACCGGCACTTGACGCCTTAAGCTTCTTGCCCTTTAGGGTGTGGCCTGTTTTGTGGTACAAGGATGTAGGGGGTTAGGTGTGTCGTGAAGCATTAGGCGATTCAGAGATCAGGACGAGGGCGTTCGGAGCGGAAGTGCAGCTCTTATAGCAGACTGGACGGCCCATCTCCTGAACTGTATTTTCTCTCCACCAAAAGCAGAAGAGTTCTCCGGAAGGCCATGATCTTTGCCAGCGACTACTTGCAGGACTTGCTCTCCACGATTCTGAGACTGTACATGTGACCACAGTCTCGACCGCTTTCCCAAGCTACTTATTCACATGCTACATGTTTGACAAAGCTGCAAGCTTTGGCACTGTGGGCAAAGGAGCAGCGTCCAGGCTTCCGTGTAGCTGCCGAGCCCCGCTTGGAGAGCGTCCCTGCCTCGGCGGAGCATCCTGAGACGACGAAGCTGCGAATGCATCTGCCACTTCAGCTGCATCAAGAAGCAAAGACGCTTCGAGGGAACAGCGTCCATGCGTGCAGCATGTGCTGACAAGTAACAGAGGTCGTTGGTGCCAGAGCCACCGTTCCGCAGCGCTGCAGCTCTTCTGCAGCACACGCTCTGTTCTGTAGCGAAACATGCAGAGTTCCTGCCAGCATATCTTGCCGATTTTGCGTTCCTTTGCAGTGTACGCAGCCGTTCATCTTGCATTACTGATGCAAGCAAAACATGCGAAGATGACGCTGTCAACCTTGACCATTGGTCGCACCGGGAACGTGGCAGAAGTAGTTCGTGGACTCACAACGACCGTCAGAAGCCCGTGACAAATTCGAAGCCAGCAAGGTGGACTTGATGTTCGCCAAAGACACCAACCCCGGCATTGCAGCTGCCACCGTCGCCCAAAAGATCAAGCTCCAAGGCAGCTGTCACGGCTGAGACGAGAGATGTAAGCTCTGTCTTCTTAAAGACAGCACTTACCGCAGTCGCCCTAGTCGAGTGTCGCCGATGAGTGGCAGGTCCAACGACGGTGTCTGCAATGGGACCACTGCCAGCTTCTAAAGCGCTGAAGTCCGTCATTATTGCCCAGAGGACTCCGGGGGCCGTGGTTTTAAAGTTGAAGCTCCTCGGGTCCGAGCCCCTGCTTGCGACCCCCCAAAGCCCATTTCCCTTCCAACTGTTCCTCTATGTATTTAGCACCCAGACAAACCGGCTCGCAGCCACTTGTATCTTCACACCCCTCTGTATTCAGAGCATCTGCTCAAGTAATGACCACTCGTTTCGCGATTGCCGGTTATGGCTGTTGTCCAGGATCCAGGCCCCAATCGGAGCATTCTGTTGCGACTGTTTACAAATCTGCCGCGGTGATAGTTGGCGCGTCGGCTTCAGGTACTTGCAGGAGCACCTGGGTGAAGACGTCCTTCTGGTGGTCCCCAAGACGGAGGTTATCAAAACTTTCTACCGCACTGAGGAGGAGAACAGCGAGAGAGAGACGAGAGCGGAAACGGCGGCTCTACGTTTCTTGAAATTCGAAACAGTCGAAGCCTCTCTCTGAATCTCTTGAGAGCTTCCAAGCTCTCTTTTCGACTCTGCTCCGCTTGTTCCCCGAGAGGAGCAGGTGCGGCTGCTCTTGGCGCTTCTGCGCGGGCAGAGCCAGCGCAGCTGATTCTGGTGTTCGCAGGTCTCAGAGTGCAAGCAGCACGTCGGTCTGGATCTGGAGAAGAACGCGCATCGATTCGGACGCCGACGTTCTGCTTCCACGGATTGAATTTATGCATTACCTGTAAATTGCTCACCAAAGGGCATCCAATAGGCGGGTCAACAGTTCACTCGGTCGGTGGGATCGAAAATCCAGGTGAAGGTTGGCATTTCAGGCATCTCAGGGTTCAACGCAGAACCGGCGGCAGTGCGAAGGGTATGGGGCAGTTGCAACTGAACACCCTCAACCCTGATTCCATGAGTGAAGACAGGGTGCAAAAGCACCACACTTCCTTCTAGCTTCCACCCCAAGGTCATGAACTAAAATCCTGTTGCTCCGCCGTCATGTAGACTGTAAACGAGAAACTCTGCAATGATGCCGCAAATTAGCCGAGCCCTCAATGCTTTCATCGCAGCTTCGGGAATTGATCTACTTACATGGTGGCTGGATTGGTGTCAGACATTAGACGTGCATGATGAGAGGTCGGATCTAGAGACGAAACTCCGTTGATCGAGTACTGATTCGTGGTAGGATGTTAAATGTCTACAAAGCGTCTTGTTTGCAAAGCCCGAGATTGCATGCTCAGTACTTCTGCGGCAGCTGAGTAGTCTGGATTTCCTGTACCAGGCCAGCACTGGAGAACCAGGCATATCTGTAAGATTCTTCAAGTGCGAGCCTTCATGCTTTCAAATTCGCCTTCAAACCCAATAAGTGGCTGTCAGCCTGCTTTGCAGACGAAACGAGGCTTCGCCAAGTCTCGCCCAGCTTGCCTGATGCCAACGATGTTCCCAGAATAACTTCACCGGCCAGACGGGTCGCTGACTGTCAGGGAGGCTTCGCTGGTGCAAAAGGTGCATGCGGCTTCTGCTCAGTCGTCTCACTCGCTCTTCAATTTTCTGGGCCTTGACTGTGCCGAGCTGTGCAGCGCACCCTCGGATTGATGCTGGCATTGATGGTGGAAGCCTTGTCCGCAGGTGACCTTCATCAAGGGCGCCGGGAAGCCCAAGGACCCTTTCAAAATCAGCTGCAAGGCAGGAGACCCCACCGGGCGATTCAGTTCTCAAGCGCATTTAGCATGTTGCTCATTGGCTCGCAATGCAAATCCGCAGTTTCGAGTCTGACACCAGACTCGTTTTTTGCACTTGGTTGCTGAGCTTATATAGACGTTCTGCTCTTGCTCAGCATGGTAGACATCAGGAGCATACCGCATGTACCGCATACCCATTCACTGCGTTCGACCAGTATGCGGCAAAGCATCAACGGAGGTCACGGCCTTCCAGCCGCATCATCTGTTCTTCACGGCAACTTTTCAAGAATCAAGGCATTGGCACTTTGTAATGAACCTGCAGCGGATGTGACCGTAAGGTTTTTGTTGAGTTCAGGATTCGATTACCTCTCCAACCCTGTGGACCCTATGCCGTGTTGCCGGGGTAGGCTGCATAGGCACCTTTTTGTGTCGGTGAGTCTGGGGAGGCTCGGGCTAGGAAGGAGGGGTCTTGTAACTTGTATCTGCCCAACCTTCGTTGTGCCAGGATCGTCGCGCCGAAGAATTTGCAGCGTAAAATGGTGGAGCCTGATGCAAACATGCTCTAAGGCCACTGTGACAGTGGCGATGGCCGAGCTGTCATACGGCCCTTCTGTACTGCTGCGGAGACCTCAGAGCTGGAACGGCGACCAATTTGTTAGCTGTTTTGGAGGCTTGGAAGGCGGTGATCTCCGTCTGTGTGTACGCGCGCGCGTGTGTGTGTGTGTGTGTGTGTGTGTGTGTGTGTGGAACACCTGTTTGCCAAGGTGCTAATGATTCATTCGTATACTTTCATGCAGGGGGCGCGGGGTCCTCTGACACAGCTCGCGCCAACGAAGCTCTGTGTCAGATGGACAGGAAAACGTACCTGCAGGTCAGTTCCTGGGTGCTGGAGGCACAACTGGATTGGCCATTGGAAAACAAAGTGATCGACTGAAGATGAGCCTTGAGGCCAAATTGGTACCGGACCCCCTTGAAAGCTTCATGCTTTCGTGATACATCAAGCGGTGCTTGATAACCAAATTGATGAGTGGCTGCGCGATGGATATCTAAGTGTGTCCCAGGTAGTTACAAGCTGGTCTTGTATTCGTTTACCGCGCTACCTGCGGCGGGGTTAGCCCGTGCGAGTACCTGCCAGGGTGGATCTGATAAAGGCAGGGATACATTGTTTTGGGCCCGTCGTGGTCCTCACAAGTCCGACTGAATTTGCTGCTCCGATGGTGCAGACATCTGATTACTTCAGTCGTGATGTTTTCTCCGCTCCTGACTTAATGTCAGGTTTGATGCCAGGTTTCATTGCAGGTCCTGAATTTTTGCAGATCCGATGGAACCAACGGCTTTTCTATCCGCAGACCACGATTTCAGCTCCGAGACAAAAGCTTTACTCCGTGAAATCGAGACAGGTAAACGTACCTGTAGTGGTCGGCATGGGCACTTGAGTGCAGCTTGTGGCCACAAATCGATTTGTTTGACAACATGAGTGTAATGCAGCTTTTCGAAAGACTGCAGGGGGCAGAGGGTCTCATTTCACGGCCCCTGCCAACTCTGACAACTGTCAAAAACTGTGCCACAACAGGAACATTGGGGAGGTGCTGCTTTCTTAAACGCCCTGGCTGTCTCAGCTGTCGGTCGGCAAGCACCGCGGGGCTGCGGCATTTCAGTAAGACCTGCGAACTGTGGATGCTTGACCGTGTTAATAGGACATGCACTGCAGGGCTGCGGCATTCTGTAAGACCTGCGAACTGCAAGTGCAGTCCTCTACCGGGATTTGCAGGGCCTCATGTGGCCACCCTTTACCGTCCCTTTTCCTTTTTCCGCATGTGTCGTTTCGTAGTCATAGTTTTATCTTTTTCAATGCTCACAGCCAGGGAGGCTTTTTCCAGCCTGAAAGGCTGCCTCCAGCTGCAGCTCCTTTACCTTCACTGCTATTATGTTTTAAGGCTACACAGCTAACCGCCCGCCCTCCTGCAGAGCTTTTGTCGGTTCCTTTTTCAGTTTCCGCTTCCCCATTGCAAACTAGGGGCCAAGCAAAGAAGCCTGTTGGCTACCCCGCAAAGCGGGGTGTGTGTGTGGAACACCTGTTTGCCAAGGTGCTAATGATTCATTCGTATACTTTCATGCAGGGGGCGCGGGGTCCTCTGACACAGCTCGCGCCAACGAAGCTCTGTGTCAGATGGACAGGAAAACGTACCTGCAGGTCAGTTCCTGGGTGCTGGAGGCACAGCTGGATTGGCCATTGGAAAATAAAGTGATCGACTGAAGATGAGCCTTGAGGCCAGATTGGTACCGGACCCCCTTGAAAGCTTCATGCTTTCGTGATACATCAAGCGGTGCTTGATAACCAAATTGATGAGTGGCTGCGCGATGGATATCTAAGTGTGTGTGTGTGCGCGGGTGTCGAGGCATGATTTGTGGTCTTCCTGTGCTTCACAAAGCAAGAGCACACTTAGCGCGTGCGGGCGCCGTTGTCGCGACTGTGGTCTTCTCATCCCCACGTGCCATCCCGATGTACTGCATGCCGCCGCTTTCCGATCGGGTAATTTGGTTCGACCTGCTTTGGGAAGGAATCTCTGTGCTCAAGCAACTGCAAGCGCGATTCGGTTCCAGCCCCCACAGAAGCAGATCTTCAACGCGAGTATCGTCACCTTGAACCACAACCTGCCAAGGTTCACTGCGAAGACGACGCGCTATTCCCTGCAGAAGTTCGCTCCACCCAAGAGCCAGTGGAAGGACGGTATAAGGGCTCCGTTTTCGGGCTGCTTCCAGTCCGGGCGCAAGGCTTGTAAATCCAAGTCGATTGGGAAAGGCCGGATCCCGAAATCCTGGCCGAGCGATCCCCGCAGGGAGGTGGGGTCCCAGTCCCAAGCGAGCTCGCGCCAGCCCGAGGACTTCCAAAAGATGTGTGCGCCGGATGCAAAGTGGGTGACGATGGACAGCACGGGGCATTTCGGCAGCAGTTCTGGCAGAAGCACCTCTGTTCCCACGGCGACAGTGACTGATGTGCCAAGGGACTTGAAGCTCGCTGCGGCGCCAGAGACAGGTGCGGTGGACAGCGTGAAGGCGCTGGAAAACCCCCCCCCCCCGCTGGCATAGGCGCCCTGCGGCCTTCTGCGGCCTTGCCTGTTTGCCAGGACCTCTACAAAGGCCAGACGGGGACGGTCTGCCATGTCTCTGCGCTGCTGCGAAAGAGCCCAACTGCAGACTGGGAGAAGAAGTCCGTCGATGCCACTCCAACAGCAAGAAATTTGGGACTTTAGCAGCTAGGGCTAGGACACGTTACTGGAGGCATTTGGGCTTCGAAAGCCAAAATGAGCCCAAAGAGAGAACAGACAAACCCCAAGCCGACGGGGTAGCTTGGCCGGCCTGCTGAGTTTATCCTCGTGAAGCCGAGCCCCGCGAAGAAGTTGTCCTACTCTACGAGCCTCATCGCCAGTGGCTGGGCCTTTACTCGCTTGGGTTTTGGCGCAGCTCCAGTGTCCACAAGATCATGATGTGTACCTTCGAGGCTTTATTTCGGTGCAGCATGGCATACACATCTGGGCTTGGGTGTAGAATGTTTGCCCGACTGACTTACGTTCCGATGCTCCACAGCTTCAGCTCCAGAGTCAGGGAGAGAGAGCGAGACAGAGAGGACAAAAAATGGATGGGGTTGCGCTGAAGCGCGGGCTGCAAGGACTGCTTGCAGCTCTCACCCCTGAGCAAAGCAAAGAGAGAGAAAGTTGCATGTCGAACTGCTTGTCGGACGCTAGGTATAGTGCTGATGCGCAGGAGGGAGGGGCTTGGCGCCCCAAACTCCACACATGCTTCGCAAGCAAGGAAGCAAGCAAACGAGAGCAGGGTTTTGAAGCCAGATAGTGGACTCCTTGCACTGTGCGCACAGTGGCGGTGCAGAAAGCAGCGCCGGAAGGGAACAAATCCAAGCCTGCAGAGCGAAAAGACGGTCGAACACTGGAGGCAGAGTCATATCACGGCCGAAGCTTTGATACATGTTCCTTGGGCCGCCGTGAAGCCCCTAAACTTCGCAGCCTGTCGCTCTTGTCAATCCTGGACGGAACAGCTCCAGGCTCCATTTCGCAAGTGGTGCCGCCGGTTCTTCCAGTGCCCTTCAAGGAAGGCTCAAACAGTCTCGGTGTAGGCTGCCGTAGGCTGTTGAATCACGATGAGTCGCGATGCATTAAAGCAGAGAAGCGGAGTTCCCATGTTTCTAAAGTTCTTGAGTCTTCCTTTAATCCAAAGCGGAGGCAGCTTGTCTGGCTCTGCAGTAGGTTGTGGCCGGCGGTATTGAAGCAGCTGGGGCAACTTGTGCTAATCACGCGCCTTCCTTTTCAGAGTGGTCCCTAATGCAGGCATCTCAACGAACACTCGGCCGAACGCAGCAAAGGAAGACATTTCACAGGGCCAAGATGCTTCCCGCCTAGGTTTGAAGGGACGGTCGGAAGTTCGATGTTCTGCAGCGGATGTGAACAGTTGTTCTGGAGATGTCAGACCCCGTGTGCCTGTGTCGCGCCCCGCTTGAAAGTCCTGATATCCAGGCGAGATGACGCCCAATGCTTATACGATGCGCTGCGACAAGGCACCACAATCAGAAGGCCTGGCTTGGGGAAGGGGTCTCGACTCTGAGCTTGGAGAGGCGGGCTTCACCTTCGACAGCATCCACGGCATCGGGTGTCCTGCTTCAAGCACATTCTACACACAGAAATGCCGTGAACTGCTGAATTCGCTGATTGCTCCAAGGTTCTACAACGGCCATCCCCTGCTGGCGCGCCGGGGTCGGGAACTGTTCGGCGGGCATCTTCCGAGCTGGCGAGAATAGCAGTGACACAACTTGCAGCTCAACTTGCAGCTTCAAGTGATTGATTGCAGCACAGCATATGCCAGAGCTTCTTGCAGGAACTGCAGCCCAACGGCCAGCTGAGCCTGAACATCGGTCCCTCCTTTGCTGCTTGCATATGGATAAAGCTGCAGCATGAGACGCCCGGGTAGGGTGAGCTCCGTAGCTTGATCTGGTGAATCTGCTAGGGCTCAGGGCTAATCTTTGACTTAGTCTTAAGCTTTGACTCTGTAGTTTGCAGTGCTTTGGGGACCCTCGCATCTTGTGACAGTACTCATTGAGAATTGGCATACACGAGCCTGTCTTCAAGACCTGGCTGAGGTACACATCTTCGACAGCATGGGCAGCAGCAAGCACAACAAGAAGGCTTTTGCCCAACTTTGATAGCATCCGGTAATGCCAAGCTCTAAACCCACAAGTCACGAAGCCATGCATGGATCAGTACTTAGCCAACTTATCGTCACAGTAAACTCTCCCTGTGTCCGAGGCAGAAATGCAGGTACCTCGAGTGTCCCAAAATCTGTCGAAAGACTCGTCGAAAGACTTGAGATCACACGCTCTTTGATTCAGTCGGGCGAGCTTTCAGCTCGTCGCAGACCTGGATAGCATTGCCAAAAACTTGTAAAGCTTGGAGGGTGTTTCATTCGATTCGCAGATCGGCTTGCTGGACTTGAAGCTGAAATGCCGCATCTTCGGGTCCTTCGGGGATCCAGCACCCCGGATGAACAGATTTGAGGTGACTGTTTGGCTCGGAAACTTCAAAGAGCTTGCCTGCTGCACAAGAACTGGGGCAACAACTTCTGCAAGCCTGGATGCCGAAACTCCCAAGCCCTGCCAGATGCCACAATGTTCAAGCGAAGATGATTCAGGCAACGGTCTTGGGGACCACGTCTAGGTGAATCAACGGGCTCCTCCGAATCCCAATCCCTGAAGCCCAGAAGATTCTTCAAGAGCTCGCTTCCCCGCCTTAGTTTCGAGGACCTCGCGCCCATCTCTGCACGAATGGACATCGCGGTGTCGGATTCCACCTGTTGGGTGGAGGCCTCCTGTGCTGTGAGACTTAGGGTTTTTAAGTCAAGGCTGAAGGCAGCCTATGTCTGGCCTGGGCTCTGACGAGTGTTAGGATTGCATTGCCTTCAGGGCTGGGTTTACGCCGCTCTAGCAACCATAGCGCTAGCCTTCACAGCCCTTCAGCTGCCCGAGTCCCGCAAGGTCTTAAGCTTGGGCTATAGCAGAAGCAGATGAGCTGCAAGCGTCGTGGAAACAGGCATTGCTGGATGTGGGCCTGCGCGCCTTCTCCTTCACAGCAAACTCCTGGGCCCCCGCTCTAACTACCGCTGGCCCAGGAGAAGATCCCTTGTCGAACTACACATCGCTGGACCCACGTGACCAGCCATGCGCAATGCCAGCACACGTGCAGGACGGCTTGCCAGTGCTTCGGACTTACCCAAGTCTGCCAACTCCCAACCCCAAGCGTCCCAAACCCTTCTTCTTAGAGATGCCATCCACGACGATTCAATGCCGACGCGAACATGTAGTTATGTAGATTTGCTTGGCAGGGGCAGCGTTTCATGCTCGCACCTTCATCGCGAGTCATACTTTCACTACTTGTAGAGTGGTTGCGGCAGGAGCACCGCCAGCTGCTCTCACTACAAATACTGGCGGCATGGAAGGGTGGCTCCGGACAAGCAAGTAGCAATCGACCTTATCAGCTGTGGTTCGGTTTTTCTGGCGTGTTGGCATTGCGACGTTTTCGGTGTAAGTTGAGTCTGAGTGGTCGGAGTTGTTTGTCATCATACGCCGTTGCGTGTGATTGAGTGGTGCCGCTTGTGGTTGCTGCGCACGGTCTTTCGTATCGATGCTCGAAGTGTCGGGATGTTTCTCCTCTCATTCTGATTACGGTGTCGGTATGGGTTGAGAGTTGAGACTGAGATGCAACAGCAATTGGAGGAAGGTCCCTAAAGTTCCGTAGGAGGAACCTCAAGCGCAACCGCACTCGACGAGTGCTGTGAATGTCTGGACTCGCAAGACGGCCGCGTTTCGGGCTTCGGGGCTTTTCCTCACGCTTCTCAGACCGCCTACTGCTACGACACCAAGCTGGACGAGACGAAGACCAGCACCTGCACTGTGTGGTCCAAAGTCCCGGATCCTTGTTTGCACCGTTCGAGTGGGCAGGCAACTGCGGTCTTTAAGCTGATGTCGAGCTCTGGTTACAACGTCAGGTGAAATCGGATTTTGGATGCATCCGCATCACCTTACAATTGAGAATGAAGCTCTTGTTGTGAGCACTGCCCTGCAAAAGCTGCCACAAGATTCTTAATGCTGAGCTGGCGACTGTCATGCGCTTGCGGTTGAGGGCTGCAAGTTTGGAAGGCAATGGAAGATAAATGGCCCACCGGAAGCTCGGAAGAGTCTGCAAATCAGAACTAGTGAAGCCGGGAGAGGAGGGCCGCTTCGAGACCGCCAATCTCAGCTCTGTGAGACAGGACTGCAATCCCATGAACACCTGCGTCAAAGTGGATGCACCCACCTGGCTGGAACGAGGCAATGCAGCAGCTGTAGAGACATAACGTCGTGGGTAGTTACTGAGAGGGTGATCGCTTCGATACCCTCAGCCCGGAACCTGTCGTTGACAGGCATCTATTGCCCCGTGGGCTACGACATCGACCGGCAGAGCATGACGTACCTCAAGGCCGCGAGGGCCTGCGTCACCAAGTATGGATTCGACACTGCGGTCCCTCATCTGAGGCCGTCTTTTCCAATCATCCCTACTCACTGTCTTCCCTCGAGACCTTAGCGTGCAAGGATGGAAAGACTCCGAAGGAGACGATCTATCTGCGCCGGTACAAGGCCTGGGACCGTGCAAAGGGAGGAGGTCGTATCTCTCTCCCTGCCGCTTTAGAATACAAAGGTCATGTTTTTCTTGCTATAGGGAGTCTGGTGCCGCTAGCTGACCAGGCCGGTGTTGACCAGACCGTGGATGGCTGCAACAACGGCGGATGGCACTTGGGCTACGACAAGCACAGCGGGATTTGGAGTTTGATGAGGGTTCCTTCCACACACAGACACCTGAACGGGCGACCCACAAAGAAGTGCTCAGGTTGCTGCAAGAGAAGGACCCGAACGACTTCATGAGCTTGTCGAAAGGGATCTTCGAGCTCCGTGGCGATGAGAGACGCTTGGGATTTCGGGTCGCTTCAGAGCCGAACGCCTGTTCCAAAGCACAGCCAAGCAGAGCAAGCGGTCTCCAAGGCGGTAAGCCAGCAAGCTGTCCGTGACAGACGTAACGGATGCGGGCCTGTCCCAACTAGACATGAAACCCTCAGCCTTGGAGCGTCGAGGCCTTCAGTCTAGCCTCCGATCCCGAGGCGAAGCGTAGCACAAGAGTAGGCAATGGTCACAGCCTGGACGACAAGATGCTGAACGAGAGACAGCATGTTGGCAAAGTGGGCCGAGGTTCTCCGGACCTCTTGTCGGCTGCCAGGTGAAGGGGGTGAGCATCTGGGCCCCAACGCTAGGCTCAGGGCTAGGGGTAATGGGGTATTCGATCATCTTTGTAGCTTCTCCCCGAGCCGCACCTCTAGACCGGCATGCGACCGATTTTGTACTTGTTTGAAGTCTCAAGTGCTAGTAACCTTCAGGTGTGTTACGTTTAAGCATCTGGAGTTATGGGTGGAAGCAGATCCTGCGCAACACCAGTGGTTCAGTGGTTCAATCGGGTTCAATGGCTCCAATCCAGGGTGTTCGATTTCAGAGTCGAGCCTGCGTCTTCAGCCCTTTTCACCTTCGCTCTGAGCCTTGTGCAAGGCTACACCGGCCTTCCTTGCGAGCAGCCGGGAAACATCACAGAGGCCTACTTGAAGAGCTAAGGGCTGGCAGGGCTGAGTCCGGAGTTTCGATTGCGGCCTTCGCAGGGGATCCCTTGCGATTTCTGCGAGGGTGGTCCGCCCTCTATGAGGGTCATGCCAAATTCGGAGCCGCAGGAAGGAGCCGACATGCAGCCGATCATTTTGGACGACCCGAACACAAAGGATCCTGCTGACTTCTGGCTCCATCCCTGCGCCGCATTGGCTGCAACCTTGGGGCTCAGGATTTCTCAGTTCTGAAGCTCGGGGTGACTTAAGACCGAATCCTGCAACGAAGCTTGGTCTGTCCATGTTGGATCAGACAGCCTCAGACCTTCGTTACTCGCAGGTCCACTTGCGCATGGCTCCTTAGAGCTGAAGCATTGCCGCTTTGAGATTTTGGACTCGGCCCTAGGAATATGTCGCAACCTGAGTGAGCGCATCAGCATCAGAGTTGCAGCTGAGAGACAGCCTCGAAACGCCCCTATCATTCCATAATGCAGGCAGGACGCCATCAAGGCTTCCGGGATGGGATTTAGGTCGCTTCGCTGGCCATAGCTAAACCGCGAAGGTGCACTCAACCCGGAAGCCATGATTCCTGGGTGGGGTGCGAAACACGTTGTCAAGGAGCAAACGACTAGGGTTGCCAAGCTAAGGATTGTGCAAGCAAGGCGAGCTGAGCCACAGTTGACATCGGTGTCCGGTGGATTCCAGGGCAGTGACTTTTCTGATTCTCCTGGCCTGCGGTGCTGGAGCGGAGCCCTTAAAAGCCTCTATATCACTGTACCAATGACAAGAGTTGCATAGTGTGCTGGAAAGTGGCAAACTTCATCTGAGCTGGGCCTAGACACTCTTGTAAGCACAACCTACGAAGGTTTCACAGTGCAGCTCTGTGAAGCTCCGTACCCAAGTCCCCACCCCTACAGCCCGGAAAAAGCTCACTTTCCGAGAGCCTCCGCACAAGCCCTTGCGAACTGTCCTCGGCGCAGATGTGGGGCGACAAGCCGCCAGTGGATCCCCAGGTGCACTGTATTCTCTACGGAGTTTGTTGGTGTTGGATTTTCAGCTGCGGATTTGTCGAAGCCTTTCGTTTCAGTCAGGGTTTCCTGCACACCGTGTGATCCATGTGTTCCGAATACCTGATCTGCAGCCCTTCCGCAATGAGGTTTTCGCACAGATGCCACCAGAGTCTGTCGCCCCTCGGTAGCTTCTGCTTGGACGACTTGGTCTGGTGTTTGTCGATGTGCCTGGAGTTGGAATGTCGTGGCAATCGCCAGCAGCAAGGTATCGAAAGGAAACCAAGGGTTCCGAGAACGCGGTCGCTGAGTGCGGCCATGTAAGCTTGAGTCCTGAACAAGCACGAGCAAACGCCAAAGCACTACTGAAGCATCAAACGGAAGGGGCTCTATGCACAGAAGGAACCGAGCTCAGGACGATTTTGTTCCGTCCCCGATGATGATCGTTGAAGGGCAGTTTGTCTGCCTGGCGCTCAGCGTTGGCCCACGGCGGCAGTGCTTTGAGGGTGCGTGTAGCGGTAGCGACGGCAGCTTTCTCTGGCTGGAGGTCCCCCCGGGTACATGCTGGGGGATGGGCCCATCTTCGAGAGCGACATCGAGTCCATGGAGATCGGGGACTGCGAGGCCGCGGGTCCCGAAACGTAGACGGCCTAGCCTACTCCTCCACAGTGGGGAACATCCAAGCTGCGAAATCATTACCAGACCGAACGTTCTGACGCGCGGCTTTCCTCTGTTCTACCTTAGGCTTGCCAGTTCTGGGGGCCACTGCTCCAATCCCGATCCAAACCAAGCTGCTAGCCAAGACCAGAGTGACAGATGATGCCCAGATCAAATGCAAGAACAATGACGACTGCCACTTCTTCTGGCACGGCTCGCAGCATTCTGCCAACACATGCCGGCAGCTTGATTTTGCAAAGGTTTTGGGTAACCACACACCATCAACTCCTAAGCCAACCGTGAACCCGGCCGGATACCGGACCAGTTTGGTTTCGGATCATGTTGCACTGGGTTTCAGGCTGAGCCTTGTTGTCTCTCCGCGACTTTCGACAGTTGTGGGTTGAAGTGGTTGCGGCATCCTTGCAGGCTCAAGTGTGGAGTAATGAGCAGACATGAGCAGGTGTGAGCAGTCTGCCATTTAAGTTTCGCCTGAGGTTGTACTCGAGGTGCGACAATCTTCTCCGAGAGCCCGGTGTAGAGGGCGTGCTGAAAGCCACTTATCTGCAGGGAGACCAGGGCCGTCCCGCTCCCGAACGCTCCGAAAGCGGAGATAAGATGAAACCTGGAGCCCCATCGAAAGCAAGAGGCGGTGCCTCGTTCGCCCATCTGCCTCGTCAACAACCCCGAGGCGGTGTCGAAGGGCAGTGGAGGGTGTTGGGACCGCGGGTCGCTCAGCAGATGCTGATCCTACACTCCTACACTTGAAGAGTCTTTTTTTTGCTTGGTACTTCGGTTCCGTGTCACAGTGTCTGCTCACGCCGACCTTGTTTCGGATTCCTGGGCGGCTATCCTCCAGCGCGGTTGGGCGTTGGGGCTTTCTGCAGTCTCTGCTTGGAGAGCTGCGCTACAAGCTTCTAGTTGGGCCTGCATGGTTAAGGCATGTCTGTGACAACACATTCTCATGCCCTGACTCTGCCAGATGTGCTGGACCAAAACGATGCGACGCTACGCTCTGACCAGTGCGGAGCCACCCAGCGAGTTCCAATTCCTGCACTTCGCCTTCAGATGTGCTGGGCTTGGTTTCTTGGATTTCGGGATGCCTCGGAACATCAAGTGGAAGGGCGCGGAGGCGGCTCTTCCGCCACATGCACTTGTCCACTCTGCTTGTAATGTGTGTGCGCGCGTGTATCAGTGTGTGTCGCTTTAACGAGCGTTGGGATGACGTGGTGTAGCTGCAAGTGCTTTGTTTTGGCAGCTTCCGAGTTTTTGAGCAGAACCCATGGCTCATCAGCTTCGGTTTCTGACAAACATGTTGTCCCGGAAGACGACCTCAAGTGCACCTTAGCTTGATGGCTGCGCGATCATGAAATGCTGAGGTACTGGAACCTGCATGCGCAGTGCGACTACATGCTCTTGCTTGGAGTGCCAGGGTTCTCGACTCCAATGCGGTTTTGGGGACTCTGGGAGTTGAGCTCAGGGCCTCGGGTTTGCTTACCGGTGCCCTGCTGCATCCACACGCTTTTTGCTTTTTCAGGGAGGGCCGCAGTCTCCGCGCAGGAGGCTGGGGAGTCAGCGGCTGCGCGCGGCCGTCCCACCGCACACTGAAAAGCCATCGCTGGAACCACAAAAGGCGCCTTGGCTCTGAGGGCCATCAGCACTTTGCTTCGCTTTGGTAGACTTGCAGGGTGACCGCATTCAGAACACTCGTCTTTCAGTAGCAAGGCGAGTCAAGATCATCATCCGTGTATTTCTATGCATGTTTGGGCTGTGACGCATGCCGCCAGCTTTTTGTTTCCGCTTACCGAAGCCGAGCTCCCGTAGCGACGTCAGCTCGAATCGTGCTCCGGCCATAGCATGTGGGTTGGTCTTGGGAGGAGGGCTGAAGCTTTCAAGTTTCATGCGGTTCGGGCATGTTCAGATCAAGCTAAAATGTTTGCAAACTGCACTCTGCAACAAGTTCATGTCATATTGCCGTCAATTGCAGGACGAGATTCACCGTGTTATTTGCCGGATACGGCTCTATGTCAGATATCAGAACAACGCATCGTCCTGCCGAGTTTGCTGAGAATTCGGTGCATTCAGCCTGCTGAAGCGGCTCAGCACCACGAGTTGTTTGCAGCAAAGCTTTAGGACTTTAGGCGAAGCACACCTCCCATCAACATGACCAAGCCGTTCTGTCAGGAGCGAGGTTTGTGTATGATTTCCTCATATTTATCGCTTCAAGTGTTCGTTGCTGTGAGGCTTTTGCCGGAGGAGTTCGCTCATGGCACAAGGCTGAAGGCAGCCATGCTCTGCCACCAACAGGGGGATGTGTGTGCGTGTGTTCGCAGCCGGCCCCTCCCCAGCTCAAGAACCTTCCTGCGGCTTCCTGCACGATCGTTGCTGGGTGTGTCTTCCTTGTCCAGGTGCGAAGAAGAGCGAAAAAGGGATGTTGCTGCCATCTCCCATTCCTGCTGAGGGTGTCGGTGGGTTCGGATTCAGGCTTCTCTTCCCCCTCCGACAAGACCGCTGCCAACACTACAAGATTTCAGCGGCGCCACAAGGCCACATGCTGGAACGAGCGGTACAAGGGCATCCGCCTGGGGATTCGCGGCAACGAGGCCCTACAGGGTCCAGAGTCTTTCGCGCTTCTTGCCGTTTGCAGTGCTGTCGTTGCCCCGTTGCAGAAGCTCGTCGGATTACAGGGAGCCCGCAAGATCCGAAGCTCAGTATGCAGATGTGACGAGAAGCCCCTGCACACAGGGATCCTTGAATGTTCCGGAACCTGTGCCAAGGGCTATCCTCAAGCGGCACTTCAACGTTAATAGTGGTGGGCGCGGGGCATTCAAGAAAGGAGTAGACAAAGGTGGTAAGTTGGGACAAAATGAGAACTGCGACAAAAGGCCGGTGGGACACTTCGAGAATTTTCCCACGGAGTGCTGCCTAGTCATGCTGGAGTCTACCGAAGGAACTTCCATTGCCCAGTTATCGATTCAGGTGGCTACCTGCGTAAGCGGCCCCCTGGCAGAAGTGAAGAGGGGAAGGTGGCATTGGATCACGCCTACTACTGAAGCCATGCAGGGCTTTTGTATAGGATTCGGGGCAAACTTGACGCAGCTTTGCTTGTGTGCGGTTGGGGGTGGGACAACCGTGTAATTGTTTGGGAGCTCCCAAACCAGGCAGCTGGTTCAGTTCGAGCAACCTCCCCGGCTTCGGCGACTTCTCCTGTGTCGCCTGCGTGCAGGCCCTCACTAACACTGCTTGTCCCAGGTCAGACATAAGTCTTCGTGGTAGCAGAGCTGCTGGAGGGCAGACCCACCCACGTTGGTGGTTCACATGAAGAGCGAGCTCAAAGCAAGCCCGAGGTCGGCACGAGTGGATTCGGCGATGTGGAAACCAAACGACAGCAGGACCGGAGCTTTCGAGGTTTGGTGTCTTAGTATCCGGAACGAACAGAACCTTATCTTGTGTCACACTGGGATTGTTCTGCTTGCCACTCGGCGCACAGAATAGAAACGCGGAGGGCTGGAGAAGAAGCTTCCAACGTGATCGGTGTAGTCTTTTAGAACTAGACTTGACAGCCAACCATCTCAAGCTGCAGCCCACGCATCTTGACCCCGAAGCTCCGTGATATCTGATGCTAGGAGCTGTACTACTTCAACAAGCTGGCACTGTCGATACACAGTGAGGCGGCTTGTGAATGAGGGGAAGGTCCACGTCACAAGTCACAAGTCAAGCTTTCTCGATGTAGGCTGAGAGACAGTGTAGGCTGTGCCAGGTGAATCCCATCGCCGATGCCAAGGTGGGCTGCTCGAGAAATGTGCCACCTGATCTCCTTGAACCCACTAATCCACCCTCAACTGTGGGATCCCAAATCGCGCAGCTCGAACTTCCCTCTCCGCGGTCAGACAAGTGTAGGAAGTGCGTGGCTTTGGGAGGGGTTTGCTGCCTGCTGGTGGCTTAGCCTCGAAGAGCTTTCCTGGGCTTGTCCTTGTATGTGCAACATCCCCCCCCCCTCGCCACCACCACCAAAAACATGATCTATGCTCTTTTGGATCCTGTGCCCAGGTGAACTGCATGGAGCCTGTTCGCCCCAAGGCAGGTCAGGAGACCTCGCTTCCTGAGGAGCGTCACAAGTCTCAAGGGCGTGTCCAGACAGTACATTTGTTGCATCTTGAAGTATGATAACAGTGGACCGATGGGCCCCGTGAATCGACGGACCGACCTGCCCTCTTCCTGAAAGGACCTGACGAAGGTACACACTTTCGACCTCAAAGGCTTGCCTGGGGCTGCTGTAAGGGGAGAGCAGAGTTGGCCGCGAAGAGAGCCCAGAAGTGTTGCCTTTGAACATGCTGTTCGGATGTATCGCATCAGTGCATCGCTTCACATGCAGATGGTTGCTGTGCATCTATGTTTGACCACGTCAAAGTCTATGTGTGTTCGCATGTGTTAGTCAGTGCTTCCTTTCTCTGGAACGAAGACCGAGAAAGCATCTTGATATTTAAACTCCTTGATGGGTTTAGCATCTCGGGCTCTCCTATCGACATGCGAAGCCATTCTCGTTCGACATTGGAGCCTTCGGAGATCACTTCATGACAGGGCACGACTTCACGATCATGAACGATGTGATTGGTGAGACAACGCTTTGGGCCAACAACGACGAGGCAAGGAAAACGAGGGCTTGGGAGGCTCAACGGGCAGCAACTTGGCCCTTGTCCCACCATTCCTAAGATTGGATGTCAAGCTGCAGCGCTCGCATCAGCCAGGTTTGAGAGCTGTAACCGGTGGCCTGACTTGCTTGCAGGCTTCGAAGAAGAAGCAGCTGAGCCGCAAGTCTTGATGCCTGTGCTTCCCTGTCTTCACGGCCTGGTCAGTGGCAGACTCCCTCACAATCCATGACGCCAAAGCCACACCGACGGTTTCAGGGAAGTGTCAGCCTGGAGCTAGCTGAAGCGGCGGCCCAGGTATACTTTCCAGAGCTTGCCGGAGGCTTTGGCAGCTTGCGCCAGTGACAGCAAGTGTTGGACACTTGCCCTAAATATAAGGGTGCGAAGTGTTAGCTTGGCATGCCGCCCAGTGATTGCCTTGAGCGCTAGTCTGCTAGTCAGTGCCGATGGAGCAGGAGTTGTAGCGTGGGTTGGGCACCGTTGTGAACGTGGGATACTTGGGGAAGTGAAGGGTAACTCAAGCCATGTGCGAGCAGAGATATCCGAAGTTGGCAGTTTCTGGCTGCTCTCGATTGTCACCTTAACAATGGGCCTCTGCCTAGGTCCATCGCAAGAACGCAGGAAAGGGACCCTTAAGTTGTTCGGAACTTGACTTCAAATCCTCGTTCCAAGCCGTGCTGACCACCAGTGCAAGATGCAGGTCCCAGAGATACAACCAATATCACCACATAGTCGCCCGTGTACCAAGGTTCGTGTCGCGGTCCGAGGGAACTCAGGTCGGGCAGGGCTGAGTTGAAACTCTGTGCTGGATGCTACGATTCGTCTCAAGGTGGCTCTTTTTGCTGTCTTTGTCTCGTGACCTGGTGAGGTGGGCGTCGCACTTCGCAGATTTGACATGCGGGCAGGGTGCCATGGACGAACATTTTTCCGACTCATTCGCATGTGCGCTTTTTGATGTCCCCGCCTTTGTCGGATATGGCCTATGCAGCACCATACAACAGCATTCGATAGCACAGAATGATAGAATGATACGTTGCTCTACAGCCTATTATAAGCATTCAATCGCACGCAGAATACAACAAGCCGGAGTGGAGGAAGTGGGATACGATGTGTTCATGCATGAAGTCAAGATTCAGTTGTCCATCGGGTTTCGACTGGCCATCGCTGTCATCGTAATGCAATATTGCAATTCCAAACTTTGTAGGTAGCCAGCTTTCCATGGCTTGCATGGCCTAGCGCCTAGCTGTGAGAACACTTCCGGTTCCAATGAAAAACGCCCACACCATCCCTACACTGGTGTCACTGAATCATAAGGACCCTTTGCCGGGTAGGGGGAGGGCGGTAGGGGGCCTTAGTACCCAAAAAATCTCCGCTCATGCTGACACAAAAACGAGGTCTTCAGGAAGTTGTTTGGTTTCTGCACTGGGTTGTGCATAGCCCCTACGCGATTTAGACAGATTCATTATGCAAACCCTGTCTAAACTGCTGGTGCACCACGACCACCAACCACACCCCACTACCCCCAGCAACCCGACCATCCGCACCACCGCCCCCAGCATCCCCACTCCCGCCACCACCATAAACCACCATCACCGCCGCCACCAAGACAACCACCGCCACAACTGCCATCAGGAGCATTTACGTCAGCGTCATCAATTCACCATCACCATCGCGATGATGATGGTGATGATGATGATGATAGTTAGCATCCTCGTCCTCCTCATCATCATCTTCATCATCTTCGTCAGAATCATCACTGTCCTAATCCTGCGCATCATTCTCGCCATCATCATCGTCATAGTCATCATCATCATCACTATCTGGAGTATCACCGACGCCAACATCATTTTACATCTCCGTCTGGGTCGTCATCATCATCATAATCATCATGACCATCATCATCATCATCATCATCGCCAGCTCCTTTACCATCATCACCATCATGGCCGTGATCACTGTGACCATCGCCATCACCATCATCATTATCATCTTCATCATGATCGTCATCACCATCCTCATCCTCATCATCATCGCCGTTACCACCATCGCCAAACATGATGATCATCATCGTCACCAGGAACAGTGTCAATGTCGTGAGTGTTTTCGACTTTGTCATCGTCATCGCCATCATCGCTATGGTCATAGTCATCTTCGTCGCCATTGTCCTGATCCGGCTTCATCCCGTCATCACCATCATATCTGCCTTCCGCCACCATGTATCATCATCGCCTTCGTTGTCACCGCGGTCATGATCATCGTCATCCCTTATCATCATCAACTTGACTATGGGCCTACGTTATGATTATGATGAAGGGGCGGTTAGACGGCTCCCACTACAAGCTCGCTGTACATCGTGGCACGCAGCCGCCTGTGATATTAAAACATGCCAAGGAATATGGTCAGATTCGTTGGCGCCAAGACTTGGGTGAAGGCGCTAGTTCATCTTTGGAGGGCCGTCGGGCTTTACTTCCGGTGAGACAGGCAGCTCCTTCTCAGTCTGACCCTGCCTTCTTCCCTTGCGATAAAGACCGGTGGGTCTGATGAGTTGAAGAAAGGCGTCGCTGGGGTTTTTGTGTCGAACTTTGAACGCCTTCACATCCAAACGCTTCCCTGCCCCTCTCTCGCCTCGCAGTCCATCGCGAATCCTTGCATCGGCAACTGTGCCGCGCTGAGGTGCCTCGGGCATAATTGATTATGAGAGAGGGGAACTAAAGCCTCAGCTTCAGCCCTCGACAGAGAGCCGTAGAAAGTTACTGCCGAGGCCGGTGAAGTGCGGCCCTGGTGTTCGGAGCTGCGGTAAAACCCTGGTCGATGGCCGCAAGCTTGGAAGGCTGTGCCTCGGTCTGAGGAAAGGGAGGTCCTCATCGCTTTGTTAAAGGTCTTGCGTTTGTAGGCACCTGTGCTGTAAGTCTTCTTATGCAGGATGGGACGGAGCTTTTCCCTGAAGCTGGCATCTAGCGCCAGAAGCGAGAGAGCTGCAACGACCGAGGTGGCCCCAATCCCCTCATGCAGAGTCTCGCCACTGCCACCAGATGAAGTGGGTCCAGGCCAAGCAATGTTTCCACAGCCGTGAGCACCCAAACCGCCCAACTCGAATTTGATCCTTCCATCCAGTTGTTCACTCTTGAAATTTAACTGCTTCAAAATGAAGCCGGGGCTGGATCAACCCTACTTCGAGCTGTTGAACTGTTGCCGAAAGATCCGAAGAGCTTATGGTCGACACTCAAGCAAGAGCAATTCTGACCCGTGGACTGCCGAAAGAGAATCAATTTCCGCCTTATCCTACCCGAGCAAAGTTTCAACCTGTTCTTGTCCTCGCAGATCGACCTCGGATCGATCAAGGAGTTTGATCAGGTGAAGCTGTTTGGCTTCTTCGCTGCACCGGTTCGTCGGTTCGTTGTTTCCTGACACACCTGACGCGAAGGCTGGCTTCAACTACGGGTCTGTGTGGGCATCTTTCGCTCTGTGAGGCAACGGTCTGTAGCCAAGAAGGTTTCAGGTCGACAGGCTGCGAGAACTGCTATCGGGTTCCAGAGACCTGTCGCAGAGATCACAAAAGGCCCCCCCCCATTTCCTTGATGCGGGGGGCGAATCCGCTGTAGCGATGATGGGAGCCCAGGCTACGCAGATGGACGCAGATACTGCGGCCTCCCGGCCTCGGCAAGTTCAACCGGGGTTTGGGGCATTTTGGGGTCTTCGACTTCTGTGGACAAGAAGTTCCCCCCCCCGCTTGTGCCATGTCTGAGCCCTGATCCTGAGATGCTTGAGGCCACAAAATCCTGGTGTCCAATGACGAGAAAGACTGGACCGACACATCGCAGCTTTCTGCTTGGATGGCGCACGGGACTTGTGGAGGCTACAGGCTTTCGGGTCGGGGAGGTCCGGCTGTTTGCTTGAGTGGCCAGCGCTTAGGGCGTTTCCTCCGCTTTCCTGAGAGTCATGCAGACAAGTGTCTGGAGCTGATAGCCTTCGTCTGACAATCCAACACATTGTTCCGGCCGTTATGCCTGCAACCGTTCTTGGGTCTACAGGAAAAAGCCGCAGAGAGGGAGCCTGACGAACTAGGCCTGTGCAGAATCACAGATGAAGTCCTCGTCCGTTTGCAGGAACTTGAACCCGAATTAGCATCCTGAAAGAAGGAAGGGCGTTTGTGAAGCTCCGACCTTCGAAGGAGAACCGTGTACCACAACAACCATTGGAAGGCGAAGGAGTGGGGCCGTGGCAGCCTGCTTTTAAGCTTTCAGCTTCAGGTCGGGGGAGCAGCTTGCTAGCTGCCGGGGGGTCTGGCCAGAAGCACGCCGTGAGAGGGCTGAAGAAGTTCATCCTCGCAGGTTGGAGCCGTCAAGTCGAGCGCTCTCAGGGAGTTTAGTTTAGACCTGGCCCGTCGAGCCCTCTGCACTCAGTCTGACACCCACCTGGCCCATGCACGATGTCCACCTCTGCAAGTGCACACCTCCGTCAGAGTTCAAGAGCCACTTGAGGTAACACCTTCAACCTCGGCTCACAGATCGTGCCTTGTGCTGCAACATAAGGCTAAGAAGCTAGCCTTGTTTCGTTCCATGCTTCACAGAGTTCGAACATACGATGGCTGATCTCTCCACGTTCAGACTGTGAACACTCCACTCTGCAGGTAAGTGGCCTCCCAATACTGAGTCGTCCAAGCATTTCCCCCTGCTTTCAGGGTCGCTATGTGCGCTTGTATTCCAGCAGGAACAACTTCAACGTTGCTGGGCGGAATTTGGTCCGGTTCCATGAACACGAATACGATGACAGCACGCTGAGCGTTCAGGGTCAACTAAGGGGATCAGGGAAATTCTGCAGGCCGGAGACATCATGACCGTGTTGTCTGCTGCCCTGCAGTTTCGATTTGCCCTCCGATTGTCTGGCTTGGCATTGAAGCTGTCATTGTGTTTTCAAGAGGGACCGAAATCGAGCCCGGCTGCTTGAAAAAGCAGAAATCTGTACATCGGACTTCAGTGCCGTGCCTTTGGCCGTGCCGACCCCAAGGTTGGAATCCACCTCCTCGAAATGGAAATCTACCGAGCGGCAGTGCCGCAGCCAAAGCTGCCTGAGCCTGGGTCTCGGACGGTCTCGGATGCAGGGTTCATGATTGCTCGAGTCGGCCTTGTGTTGCGCATTTGGAGCAGTGTCGGGCGCTCTTGCACGCTCGCATCTCATCATACTGAGCCCGATCCCTCAAAACCCAACCAACCGACCGACCAACCAACCAACGCCTTGATTCGTAGGGGCCTACAGCGAAGCAACACTAGCAAGAAACCTTCAAGGGTCATCAGCTCGTCAGCTACAGGTCGCAGACGATCACAGACCACCATGTCAAGGAGCTGAGGGGGAAGGCGAGACACTGAGCCGGGCGTTGTTAAAAACTCCTTAAACAAAGGATGTCTCTGAAGCGGTCAACGTAATGGACGGAACATGAAGGAACGAGACATGTCATTCAAATGCTCGAAGCATCTAAGAACACTGCTCTGAGGGCCCATGAACCTGCAGATTTCCGAAGTCACAAAGTTCGAACAGCCTCAGGTTGTCTTCCGCTCACAACAACGGGCCACTGTAGTCCAATCGACAGCTAGTGAACAAGCTACGGACTCTTTTTCAACTAAGTTCTGAAAGTGCTTCCCTGGAATCTTCTCTCTGCTGGATGTGGTTCTTCTGCAGTACGTAAGCAGCGATTTGCTTCCCGTCTCGGCTTGCTCACGTACCCAAGAAAGTGGTGTTTCCGCCCCGTGAACCTTGCAGAAGAGCTCCATGACAAAGAAAGTTGAAATGCTGTTGAGCAGATCCAGCCCTGGCCCTGGCTCACGAGGCGAGGAAGCCTTCGGTCCTGCAGGCTCCGTCACGATTGCCCTATGAAATGCGAGACAGATGCATTCCTTCACGTCACAGACCTTGCGCCGCTTCGTGACTAGGATGGTTTGCAATGCTCCTACTACTACCACCAGTCGCACTGCCATGTGCCGGACCTTGGCAAGCTGACGCTTGGCGGTTGGTCGTGTGGAGCCACTGAAGCGAAAACACAGAACCTCATCCATAAAGCTCCCCACGATGCTGTAGCTGCGAGGACACCCGAACACCACGTGATTGTGCCGAAGGTCTCCGCGGACCGGGATATGGCACGATTTTTCAGTTGCAAGCAGGCCCTGATCTCCAGGTGGATGGGTTTCCCGGCATCCGCCAACATGATCACTTCTGCATCAGGCAGGAGATGGGGGTGGGGTTGCAGGTCGCGGTTGTATGCTTCAAGTTTGAAACGAGCCACATCATGCCGGCGTAACGTGCTGAAGCTACATGAAGAAAGGTTCGAATCGCGAGCCCATGCTTTGTGCACAGGTGCGCTGGGTTCCTGAACATCAGGAAAAGAGGCCATTACTATTTCTACACTTCCTCAGACGATGGTGTCCTGCCTGCAATGCCGCAGCTGAAGCTGTGAGAACGGGAGGCCTCGCTGTACAAGATCTGAGGCTCCTTCCTGTTCTTAAACGGGCACAGGATCGTCGACAACAACGGTTGTCACGGACGCAGGGAGCGGGGAAGTCATCGGAAGTGGCTGGAAGCAGGACGGCACCGCTTGGTGGCGGACATGTGCTGCTTGGCTTTCATGCCCATAGGCCCATGAGCTTATCGCCTTTGAATAGCATCGAATAGCAGGGGTTCCTAGCCAAGGCCAAGGGGCCTGGGGCCTAGCAGCATCGGGTTCTCGATAAGACTGGGATCCTCTGGACAAGGTGAACTTGGAGGTGGCCAGGCCTTCACGGTGCGATACAAGGGGCCGGACTCTGGTAACCGCAAGATCACGATCCCGAGATCTGCCCTGAAGTACGAGAAGGCCGCTTTCATCCATGAGAGCAGAGGAAGAGCTAGGGCTGTCACCTTATCTTTGAATGCTGCCACTTTCTTTATGCTAGGCTGCCACGGAGGTGGACCTGAAGGACCCCGCTTTAGATGTCGTTGCTGGGGTTATCGGCAGGAGCTCCTCCCCCCGTACTGGTTCATGAACCCCAAACTCTCTCTACAGTAAAATTGAATCGAGAGCTTCCAGCTTCGCATACTGACGGCTTAGGGTGTCGTACGGCTAATGGGGCGAGTATTCGGCCTGGCAAGCTGGCAGCTTTGGCCTTGGCGGCCAGTTCATGCGAAGCTCTGCCTGCTTTTGCAGCCTTTCAACCAAACAGAGGCAAGCGCAAGGCAGCAAGACTATTTCCCCAACCCTCAATCATTGGCCCTCAGTCCTTCTGAATCCTTCTATACGTCACGGATTCCTCACCAGGACGGTGCAGAGTGTAATTACTATTACGGCCAGCGCCACTGCTGGGTGCCAAACCTTGACAACGTGATCCTAGACTGGACTGCAGTTCAGGATTTTAGATGTAGACAATTGTTCCAGAAGTGGGACTGTGATTTTTTTCAGTTCGTTCAGTCTGTCCGATGGGGGCTGGCCGAGTGGGCTAATTCGGCTTCACGCTCAAGCGGATTGTAAATGTGTGAATGTGCGTTGATCTCCACCTTCTAACGATCCAGAGACTGGATTCAAGCTTTTGGTCCTCGGGCGCAATCCCAGCTTGGTTTGCCGGAAACTCCTGGCTGTTTTGCAAGCTACACTGCCAAAACCAAGTCCTACAGGGAAAGCCAGGTAGGTCAGCAGTAAACAGAGATTCGTTCACCGCCTTTTTTCGAGGCTTTGGTGCTGGACTGGTCCGGCTGTGGTTCAGGTGTTTCCTCTACCCAGTGCAAACGCCATCCTAAGGAATCCGTCCCACACGGTGACCGTGCCAGAGATCTATATGGACCGGGATGGCAAACAGAATCAGACAAGACTGCTTACTCACAGGGAGCCTGCTACTTGTGAAGGCTGCTGGCGCTTGATGATTTCTGCTAATTGTTTGTATGAGTACCGTTCCGAATAATTGTGTTGCGGCTTTGGCACCTCGAATCGCGGTCAGACGCATGTTGAATCCAGTTCTGCAATCCGAACTGCTGCAAAGCCTGTCTCCGCGCAGAACAACGGTCGCTTCTGGGGAATCAACCAGCACAATCACTTCTGTGTGAGGCAGGGAGTGGATAGAGTATGCTTCCTGACGGCACATGTCACATCAAGCAGTCAGACTTCAGTATCCCCGTTACCATGACCCTTCGCAACTGGTCCCACCTCGCAAAGCCTTAGCACCAATTTTTCTGAGCAACACAAACCGAGTTTGCAAAGTTTGCTAAGCCGCCGGCTTTAACTTAGCAAACGAGACATGCCTTTGCAGGTGCACTGCCCAGGTTGCTATCAAGAATGAGGGGAACTACAGGTTCACCACTGCATCCGATGACGGCGACTTGGCGCTGAATACCCAGGGTGAAGTGGATGAATCGATTTTTCGAGGAATGCTTGATGTCAAGGTTAGGCACAAGACGCCCATGCTTTTCTGCCAGAGGCTCTTTAATGTACTTGAACGGGCGGGAGATCGTCAATAACAATGGCTGCCACGGCGAACGGGAGCGGACGAGCGGCAACCAGTGGCTCACGCCCGGCTACCACCTGGTTGGAGTGGACATGTGCGAAAACGCCGGTGGTGAGGCCATGAAGCTGCGATACCAAGGCCCCGACACCGGCAACCGTAAGGTGAAGGTCCCTTCGTCAGCCCTGAAGCACGAGAAGGCAAGGCCCGGGGCGTGTTGCCGAGTGTGGGTTGGGTAACGACTTCGAGACGAGACCGAGGGAATCCGAGATCCCGAGCCACGCCATTCCCACGCCATTCCCACGCCCCACAGAGCCTCGGTCTCTCAGGCCGGATTGGAGTGCAAATACATCTACCACCGGCATCACTGTTGGCTCCCAAATCTGGGCCGCCTGCTGCTTGCCTCAAATGGCGGCAAGCGTGCACTGGCACAATCCTTGTGATCGCAATCCGAGCGTAGCTGGAAAACATCCTGAAGCCCAAACCTGCTACCAGCAGAATGTGTTGCGCGCTTTATTTGACCAGGCATGCTCATCACACTGTGACCGTGCCGGACATTTGGATGGACAGGGATGTCCCTTAAAGCGAATTGGGATCCGGGGTAGCTGTCCCAGGCCAGTTTATGACGTGCCATGTTGTCATTTGTTTGTCTTGGCCCTGAAGCACCTGAGCCCTGAGCCTTCGCCGGTCACCGGGCAACGTGGGAGAACGTGGGCTTGTGCAGGAGAACGGCAGGTTCCCTGCCCATCGTCACGGCAATGCCTTCTGCATGAGGCGGAGAGAAACTCTCGCGGTGCGTACCTGTGAATAGAATAGATAATGTTTCGTCGTGATCGGCTCTGGTAGACTGGTAGACATATACCACTCTGCTGATGGGGAGACTGCCTGCACCCGTGTCTTTCCAGGTGCAGTGGCTACCTGGTCATCAGGAAAGCTGGCCACTACTTGTTTTGGACTGCCTCAGACGACGGCGTCTTGGTCAGACAATGCACGTGAAGTGAAAACGGTGACGCCAGACGCCAGACGAAAGAAGCGCAGTGTGAGGCTCCTTTCTGTACATCAACGGGCACAGGGTCGTCGACAACAACGGTTGTCACGGCGAGAGGCAGCGAGGCAGCCGCTGGTGGTGGATGAACGCGGGCAAGCACAGGCTGGTCGCCGACATGTGCGACCCGTCCTGAAACTTTCTCGAAGCCTTCTCAAGCCTGCAGCTCGTGTTTGACAGAGATCCAGCAGAGTTCTGCATGAGGCGAGAACGGGGGTGGAGAGGTGTTCAAGGTCATGTACCAGGGACCGGACACTGGCAACCGCAAGATCAAGATTCCGAAAGAGTCTCTGCTCAAACCCGGGCAGGCCTGGCAGCTGTGGTAGCCTGCTGACTGTCAACCCATTTCAAAAACCCATCCTAGCATCCTGACAATCATGCAAGGCCAGCGGCACCAGCGCCATGCAGGCAGAGCTGTCTCGAATTACAAGATCGCTGGAAATCTGTAGTCGGCGATGTCTGAGCATGTGCAGGTTTGGGGTTCATGGCCGACACATCTAACCATGACAGTAGCAACCTGAACCGGCGACGGCACATCTTCAGGTCTCTCTGTCGTTCTTTCATGTTTTTGGACAGGAGTGTTCGAAAAGGTCCGAGTTTGCAAAGCTGCGTTCGACGCCAATTGGCCAGCCGACGTTGCTTTTCAATCCGAGCTGACGACGCACTGAGAGTGCAGGCTTGCGAAGTAAACAGCAGTGAAAGCTGCAGCTTGTCCGGTTCCGGAGAGATACGAAGCGAAGGAAGAAAGGATCAGGCATGAGGCAGTCAGCAAAGGCAAGACCCTGAGCTATTCACCTCAGAGATCCGCAGGTTCGTTCCACACGAGCATCAGTGATCACCTGGGGACCTCTTTTTTCTGACCCCCTTCATCTTTTTTTTGACCCCCACCCCGGGGCAGCCCCGCCCCCCCGCCCCGTGCCGGCCCCAGTGTGCTTCCTATCTGCATTTCAACCCCCTATGTCTTTTTTCTGACCCCCTATGTCTTCCCTCGACCCCCCTAGATTTACCCGTATCGCGATCCAGATCTCGTGGGTCACCCTCTTTTATCTTTTGTTTGACCCCGAAAGTCCTTTCTCCGACCCGGCCGACCTGCCCCCGCAGGCCGTTGCGGTGCGCACCTGTCAGACCCAGCCTTGATGGAGCCCAGGGACAGTCTTGAGGGTTTGTTTGTCTTGCCCCAATGTAGACAGGGCCCAAAAAAAGTTCTCCCCCATGCTCCGGGAATTTTACCAGCCCTCGGCCAGACACGGCTTGAACTGGATACTAACCCTCCCCCCCCCGACCCTGTAGGTACATACATGGTGCCGCGTCGCCGCCTCCCCCCCCACCCCCCATGGTATGCACCCCCCCCCCCCGCCCGCCCCCAAGCCAGGCCTCTCCCTCGTCCCAACAAACAACCCGCATACCGGGGGGATAACCCACAACACAAGGAACCACAGGGGCGGGGTGGGATAACCCACAATACAGGGAACCGCAGGGCCTCTTCCCCTTGCCCCGTCCCTTCGACACGGATGAGAATGATGACGATGATGTTGTGCACCATGACGCTGATGTGCTATCTCCAGTGTGGCTGTTGGTGGTAGCTCTGCTTTTATGTTGCCCTGGGCTTGGGCACTGCATCGAAAACTGTATGGACCGGTGTCATTTCAAGCCAAGTTTCGGTTGGGTTCGTTCAAGTCAGCTTGAGCACGTGTTTGAGTGATTTCCATTCGGGACTCTTGAGCCTTGCAATTGACCGGAGGAGAGTGCAGATGGGGATCATGACCACCATTTTCGTCATCATCATCATCACCATCATATTCATCACTATCAGGGGCTTTGGAGCAAGGGGGCGCAGCCAACCGCAACCACAGGGGGGAGGGGTAAGGGAGAACCCACACCACAGGGAACCACAGGGGGAGGGGGGATACCATGGGGTGGGGGAGGAGGGGGGGCCTAGCAGCGCTGCACCATACATACTCTTCCTTGCATCTGCGAACATGTGTTAAAATACATCGTGCGTAGGTAGCTGCCTTAACCTGCCTAAGGTACCCCGCACGCGCTCTTATTATACAGACCTACGTACGTACGTGCATACCTCTCTCCGCCACCTCGCCGAAAGCTATTGGTGCGGACACACGCACGTACATACCTGCTAACATACTGACCTGGTGCCGGAAAGAAGCACGGCGCGAACGCAAAACCCAGCAATGGCTGTCGGGTATTCGAAGCAAAAGCAGACATCAGGTGTTTCGGAATTTCTGGTGTTTTGCAAAAATTTTGCACATAAGGTCTGGTTTTGAGGGATACGCGTGGCTACTACGGATTTTCCCGCTTTTGGCTGTCGATCTCAAACCCTAGGTTTTCATTAGCTATGGAACAGAGTCCAGATTTTTTTGAGAGTACCTTTACGGCCACTTCGGGCCTGCGGATTTTGCCTTAAAACCCACCACCCCCCACCGCTTGTGTCCGGTGCCGACAAAAAGCGCAGCGGGACCGCGAAACCTTGCAAAAGCGTCGGCTTTCCAGGAAAATGCAGAAGCTCGTTTTGCAGAATCTTTGGTGTTTTGCAGAATTGTGGACATCAGCACTTGTTTTCAAGGATACGCATGGTTGCTACGGATTTTGTGCTTTTGGCTGTGTTCTCAAACCCTAGGGTGTCAGTAGCTATGGTAAAAGGTCCAGATTTTTTGAAAGTACCTTTCCGGCCCATCTGGGCTTTCGGATTTTGGCTTTGAGCATCCCGCCCCACTGCTTCTTTCTCGTGCGGACAAAAGCTATGCGGGGACGCAAACCCCTGCAACGGCCTGGGTTTTCCCTGAAAATGCAAATGTCGTTTTGCAGAAAATTGTTGTTTTGCAGAATTTTGGACAGCAGTTTTTGTTTTCAGGGATAAGCATGGCTGCTACGGATTTCGTGCTTTTGGCTGGCGATCTCAAAACCTAGGTTTTGAATAGCTATGGAACAAGGGCCGTATTTTTTGAAAGTACCTCTTTGGCTCATCCGAGCCTTCGGATTTTGCCTTTGAGCATCCCCCGGCAGGCTCGCCCCACTGCTTCTTTCTCGTGCCGCCAAGAAGCGCAGCTGCACCGCAAAACCCTGCAAAAGCGTGGGTTTTCCAGGAAAATGCAGAAGCTCGTTTTGCAGAATCTTTGGTGTTTTGCAGAATTTTGGACATCAGCACTTGTTTTCAAGGATACGCATGGCTGCTACGGATTTTGTGCTTTTGGCTGTCGATCTCAAACCCTAGGTTTTCAATAGCTATGGCAAAAGGTCCAGATTTTTTGAAAGTACCTTTCCGGCCCATCTGGGCCTTCGGATTTTGCCTTTGAGCACCCCTTGGCAGGCTCGCCCCACTGCTTCTTTCTCGTGCCAAACAAAAACGCAGCGGGAACGCAAAACCCTGCAACGGCCTGGGTTTTCAGAGACAATGAAAATTATGTTTTTGCAGGGTCTCTGGTGTTTTGCAATTTTCTGGACATCAGCTCTGGTTTTGAGGAAT